TGGCTTGAAACGAGAGATTAGGAGTGGACCTACCAGACAAAGAGAGAGACGTGTTGCTAGGAGACAGAGAGAGGTGATAATGAGACTCTGAATTAGTAGGAGACGAGGACAAGGAAAGAACCGGTTGGACTGGTTTAACAGGTTTAGATAATAGCAAGTGATTAACAGTGTCATCGTTAGACTGGAAAGCGGTAGAACTTAAAAGAGGAGTAGTAAGAGTGGGAGGAGGAATGGGCGGAGAAGTAACTGATGAAGTAACTGTTACACCACTAGAAACTGTTAATGGAGGAGCAGAAGAGAAAGGAGAGTATTGTGAAGAGGCTGAGAAGGAGGGAGGAAGGGACGAGAGAGAGAGAATAGAAGGAGAGGGTGAAACAGCAGTAGGATGAATAAGAGGAATAGTAGAAGATAATGGAAGACTCGCAGTCAATGAAGAAGATGATGAGAAATGAGAAGTTGATGCAATCACAGTAACTGATGGGGATAGACCAACAGGAGAAGATACAGCAGCCATTGATACTGTAGCAGCCATTGATGCTGTAGCAGTCATTGGTGCTGTAGCAATAGAAGAAACATTAGGAAAAGAAGAAACAAGAGACTGAGTAGAGATTGAAATACATGTACATGTTGGTACAGGAGAGGTTAATGAAGAAGGAGGAGGTAATGGAGCTGAAGATTTCTTTGGAGTATCCATTGCAGCTGGAGACTGAGTTATGGTATCATTATCAGTAGTAGTGTCTGAGTCTCTGCCTCCTTTGATTGACTGAGCTACCGGTATAAACTCAGGGAGGACAGAACTAGGAGATGAGGGAGGAGACGGAGTTATAGAAAAAGAGGAAGAAGACTTTATATTAGGAGGAGGACTAGCCACACTGGCCTGAGGGAAGTGTTCTGAGAGTAATGCTTTTAAAGAAGTACCAATATCATAAATAGCCTCTTTCTCTTTGCTCCCTCCATCTTTATCATTGATCAGTGATAACTGGTCCAGTTGATGACTGATCATGTGACTATCATGTGGTGACTCGGAGTTTAAAGCTATGATCACAGGAGGGGTCTGAAGTTGCTTAGTGAGGACTGGGTCCGGAGAAGAAAATATTGACACCTTATCTGTCACTGGGTCTGGTTCAGTGACAGCTTGTGATGAAGGTCCATTATTATTACTAATGTCCGGAACTAGTAATGATTGTTTTATAATTGCTGGGTCCGGTGATGATGAGCCTCTGTTATCATTTTCATTGTGGGCATGGTGAGTAGGTGGGGTCTCACTTGCATTCTTGAGTGAAGAGAGGAAAATGTTAATATTGAGACGAGTTGAATCAAGTCTTGACCTGATCTCAGCCACTTTACTAGCCCTGGCCTCTTCCGTTGGTGAGGGCGTGGCTTCATGTGAAGAGGAGGAGTCATGATCAGATAAGACTAAAGGTGTAATTTTTGGAGAAGAGAGAGGAGGAGAATCAGGAGGAGTCCCACTAGGAGACACAGAAGACAAGGACCTCTTGAGAGGAGACGCAAACGACACTTTAGCAACCGACTTCACAGTAAACTCCTGTGCTCCATTTTCATCCAGTTTGGTCTCAGACAACAAGTCAGTACTGGCACTAACAGGTAGAGTATTATTAGAAGGAGTGGGAGGATTAGATGAAGGAACAACACTCACTAGACTCTTCTCTTCGTCGGTCTTAGGCAGGACCTGCGTCAGCTCATAAAGATTATCTATTTCATTTGAGAGAAGTGACGGAGTCGGGAAAGAGGAGAGCCCAGTGGTCGTTAGGAGGTTCTGCAGTCTTGAAGGAGCTGGAGTTACCGGAAGAGACGAGACAGTAGAGAGAAGCAACGTTGAGGCTTCATCAGTCACTCCAGGACCGTCTGATTTCACTAAATAACACGACGGTATGTCAGGAGGAGGCGTGGCCACACTACTGGATGCAGTCTCACTATCTTTTTCATCAGACGTGGGTGTGACTGATCGCTCCCTTTCCCCTCCCCCTTCAGAGGTGAGAGGAGTCTTTAATAATCCGTTTAGATTCAGAGGAGGCACATGCATGGGGAGTGGTGACTCACTCAATGCCTGCTGTGAAACAGTCAATGGTGATAACAAGAGAGACGAGGCTGGAACACTGGTTACTGGAACACTGGTTACTGGAGCACTGGACGATGGAATGCTGGTCACTGGAGCACTGGACGATGGTGGGACAGAAGAGGAAGAGGTCGATGAGAGTGGTACTTGTTGTGGACTGGTTGCTATGAATCTGCTAGGGGGACTCACAATGACTTGATTGTCTGCGAAAATTGGCTAGAAAAATAATAAAATAATATGTAAATTATAGAAACTTTTACTACCATAAACAATTTTCCCTTCCACTCTCTCTTTCCTACTCTTTGCAGTGATATGACTCTGTCTGGTAACAGTTCTCCTCCAAGTGGAAAACTTTTCCCTCGAAAATACGTCAGTATTGACTCCTCCCCTCCATCAGAATTAGTCACATGACTTGAGTTATCAGACGGTATCGTAAATGTCCCTTGCAAACTACTGTGTGTGGTCTGTTAGTAATGCATGTATGTACATGTACATGATGTGAATAAATAAACAAATGCAATGTTATAAATACCTTTGTGAATAAAGACATTTCTTCTTCTTCCTTCTTTAAATCAGAGAGAAAAGATTCTAAAGGAGAGAAAAGCTGTAATTAATTACAAAATAAAAATAAAATTATTTATCATTACTATTATTAATGTCAATTATATATCCTATTGTAGTTCTTACCTTTATCTTGCTCCTGGAAATCAAACTCATCGCAAGTTTGATCGCTTCCAGAATCAAACGGGTTCTCTATCTTTGATCTTTGTCCCTCAACAATAAAACCCACTCCTTCCTCCTCCTCCTCGCTGTGACTGCTGAAAACTGTATCACAGTTCACTGTATCGGTGGGTGTGGTTGGTACAAGATATGGCAAGAGATCCTGTGATGCATAAAAATTATCCTTTTTCTTTCTTTTCTCTAACTTACAGCATTGACATCACTCTCCTCCTCCTCCTCTTCTTCCTTCACTGTTGATAAGCTCTGGTTGTTTGTGTTCTCAGCCACGCCCAAAACAGACGGAGCAGATCCAGCAGCTAAACTCATTCCAATACTATCATTGTTCATTCCCATGCTCCTATCATTAGGAATGGGCACGTGAGATAACAAACTAAACTCGGCTGCTTCTCTCATAAGAGTCGGCTCCATCTCATCATTAATGTATTGAACACTCTTAGGATCTAACAAACAAAAAATAGTAATATACCAGAGCACCACTATAAATAGTAACACGGTGCTAAAAGTAGCAACATGCTACTATAAACAGTGACAAGATGCAAGTAACATGATACTAATAATAACAACGAGATGACATGATGCTCAATACATGCTTACCCTCATTAATTGATTCATTGTCTTCCTTAGAGTTTAAGGATTGAGAGGTGGCCGAATAATGAAGATTAAAGTCACTAACTCCTCCCGCCATTGAAGAGGCTGCAGAAGGATGAGGAAGAGTAGTGACGGTAGAAGGAGCAACGGATTGCGGAGAATTAAGAAACTTCAAAGAATTAGCTGAAAAAAAGAAATCACATGTATTTTTAGATAAATATAATATTTACCATCAATATCTTGTGATAACCTTCCACTTATGTCTCCATTACTGTCTCTGTAAAAAAATCAAAAATTTTGTAATTAAATAAAATAATTATAAATACAAGAACCTGGTATTAGGTGGCAATGTTGGTTCACTCAGGAAAGATCCTCCATCACTTCCAGTAGGATGAGTACCAGCACTGTGGCCACCATGATGAGAGGAGGGAGAGAGAGAGGGGAGTGGAGGCTCTTTTATTGCTGTGGAAAAAGCCTTTGGCGTTCCTATGTCGAGCAGCGAGTGACCTTGAAGAGTTATCTCTCCTTTACTGGTTGGATCTACCATTTTATAAAAAAGAATTAAAGAAAGAGACACATGAAGAGAGAAGAGAAATTCTTAGTTCTTATAAACAAATGGCGGGATTTGGAGGCAAGATCACGTGATAATTCTAACAGGACACGTGGGAATGCGTGTGCAGGTCACGTGATGATTTGTACCGAAACCACGCCTTTTAGCTCAGCCCTGTAATTTAAAAAAATCACGTGATCTCTTGCACGTGTTACTTAAAACAAAATGGCGTCCAAGGCATATGTATCATCAATGACTGTGGCGGAACTTACCTCAGAGTTGAAGAAAAGAGGACTCAATTGCAGGGGAAAGAAGAAAACGCTACAAAACAGACTAGAACAAGTAATGAAAAGCAATACTTATACCAAAATAGACAATAATAAACCTGGGTAGCCATCTTTAATAATAATTGTCTTGTTTTATTGGTAGGCGCTATATGAAGAAGAGAATAGTGAAACTAGCTCTGAAGGGAATGATGAAGCCACAATACGAGCTGCATCAGCAGTTATCAATCAACTAGCTGGTAACAACAGCACTAGCGATGATGGGGGAGGGGCTTTTGCAAACGACGAAGAATCTTTAATCGTATCTATAGATCGCTCTAGAAAGTCCTCGTCAGATCAGCCTAGCATCACCGTAGAGCAGAGCAATGGAGAGAGAGAAGAGGAGGAGAAGATGGCAGAGGGAAAGGAAAAACTAAATGAAAATGAAAACGAACCAAATGCACAAAAACTTAAAACTTCTTCAGTCACAGAACCACTTGATGCTGCAATGCCACCTCACGTCTCCCCCACTGTAGTCTCCCCTACCGCTAAAGACGCTGGAACTCCACCCACCATTCCTTCAATATCGGTAGCCGCTCCTCCTACTGCCAGTCAATCAGGAGCTGATACTCCTCTAACGGCCACGCCTAGTAAAGCATTCATAGCATCAATAGGATCCCCTTTATATGGGGGAGATGGCAGAGAGTCGGAGAGCGAAGTAAACAGTATAGCTGTGGAGCCTCCCTCTCCTAATAGAGACGAAATTAGCTTTGCAGTCGACGAGCAGTCATTTCGTGCTGATGAAACCGCACCTCTTTCTGGACCAGCCACGCCTACCTTGTCTCACGCCACCGAAGAAGTGGGAGTGGTCTTGTTGGAGACTAAAACATTTGGCAAAGATGAGAGTATGGAGGAAGAAATAAAAGAGAAAGAGCCAACAATTGAGGAAGAGAAGGAAGGAGGAGGAGGAGACGAGATTAAAGAAGAAGAAAAAGAGAAAGAAATATTACCAGAAGAAGAGAATAATGGTGGAACCGAAGCAGTACATGAAGAGAAGGACATTAACACTGAGAATAAAGAAGACACCATAATAACTGGAGACAGAGGAGATATTATTAATACTGGGGAAACCATTGCCACTGGAGAAGACACAATTAATAATAAAGGAGAAGACACAGAGGAAACCATGAACACTGGAGACATTGAAGAGGCTATTGATACTGGAGAGACCATTACTACTGGGGATTTAGAGGAAAGTAATGAAGGAGGGAATGTGAGTGGCAAAGAAGGAGAGAAAGAAGAAGAGGGAGGTGGAATAGGTATGGTGAGTTTGGTAGGTGAGAATAACCATGAAGCTTCTGAACAAGTTGATCTTGTAGTCTCTACTGATCTTAACGATGAGGAACTCTCTGACTTTCCTTCCACACAGAAAGAACCTCAAGACGCTGGAGCCTCTCTTAGTCCGGCCGAGAAAAGGGAGGGGTCAGTAGGTGTGGCCAGTAACGATAGTAGTGATATGTCTAGTAGAAAAAGACAAAGCTCAGTTACTGAGGATAATGAAGCTGAAAAAAAGACTATTATTGATGTAAGTATGATAATAATTATTTTTATTGTTATCTATGTTGTTTTCAGAGCTCCAAAAGGAGGCGAATATCGACCTCACCACCAAAAAGTAAGTTTAAATAAACCTCTGGCTGGTAGCTATTATTTTCAACCTCTTAGAGTTACCGGAGAGACGGAGAAGGTGGGGCTCTAGCACAAGTCAAACACCAACCACTACTCAACCACCAATCAGCTCTGAGACACTAGAGGTATAGGAATTAAGAAAGAATAATGCATTATTATAAATAAGAGAATAATGCATTAAAAGGAATATAAATTAGCAGTTAGTTAGCACAAGAATCTGTACTCAAGTGTGACCCTGTAATATTTAATTACTAGCATCAAGTGATTCTCTCCATTTGTATTTTAATTTTTAGACAATTATTCCAGAGGAAGTAAAAGAAGAAGTAACGGCCGAATCAACTTCGATAGAACTGATGATCACCGGAGAGGAAGGAGAGGGAATTGATGTTAATATCTCCTCACCTACTGCTCCACAGCAACCTCAAGGGGAGCCCAGTGAAGATATGGAGGTTGGGGTGACAGGGAGGGAGGGAGACGATGAAAGAGGAGGAGACAAACAAGATGATGAAGATATTGTTGACCTTGGAAAGGAAGAAAGGTTAGGTGCATGTCTATAAGCAAACCCAACAGCTAGCACACTTTATGAACTGATCATATTGAGCTATGGTGGTCTTTATGGTACATGCAATTTTTTAAGCAGCTTTAAAAACTTTTTAAAATCCAATTTTGATTAGAATCTGTTCAAACTTCATATTCAACATTAGAACATGTATATGTATCAGGAAAAATTATTAAAATGGAGAATTCTCTCTTAGTGATATTTGAGGGAATTTTTGAGAAACTTTCAAAAAGAGGTTATTATATTATTGTTATTTTTCTTATTAGTTCACTTATTGATGAGTATGAGAAGGAATGGCAAGAGAAGGAGAGAGAGAAGGAGCTCCAGAAGAGAGAGATAGGGCGTGCTAGGAGAGAACTAATGGAGTCTAAGAAAGGGACGGAGATAAAGATCTTTGAGGAACCAAAGAAGAAAGAAATAAGTAAGACATGCTATTGGAGCACCTCTTGTGTTCACTGTTCACATTGCACTGAAATTCACATAATGTGAACAGGTTCCATTACTATTGGTTTCTGCAATACATGTACATGTATATTTATCAGTTTGTGCAATATTTTGATTATTTTTTTATTTTGCAGTTAAGATTCATTCTCCGAGTCCTCCTCGCAATCCTCCGTCTCGTATCCTCCATGTTGAAAACCTCAAGAGACCCTTCACTTTGCTACAGCTGAAGGATTTCCTCCAGGAAGACGGCCCAATGATTGAAGGAGGTTTCTGGACTAACAAAATAAAATCACACTGCATTGCAATTGTGAGCAAAAAAAACAGGATTCATATCCATGATATTAAATGCTTCATTTCTCCTCCTAGTTCACATCCACAGAAACAGCTGTTGCTGCCAGGGCCAGAATGCATGGGCTGAAATGGCCCTCCATTAACCCTCAGCACTTGAAAGTTGATTTTCTCAGCAATCAAGAGGTAAAGTAGAAGCACCTGCTTTATTTACTGTGTCTTTTTCCCCTCCTCTTTTTTTCCAGGTAGCTCAGGTTAGTGAGGGCTGTCTTGTCATTGATTCAAGGTCTCCAACACCACCTGCTCCTCCTGCTGCTGGTGTTACTCCAGCTCCTCCTCCTCCTGCTGCTGCTGGGGCTGAAAGAAGTGCTGAGAAGAAAATCAAAGAAGCAAACAAAGTTAGAAGTGACAAAAAGCAAATTATTGTCACAGAGAATAAAAAGGAAGGTTAGTTTGTACTGTTGTACTTCAATTAATTCTTTTTAAAAAATTTTGTCCTTCAGAAGTTAAGGCTCCTCAAAAAGCAGACGAGAAACCGACTCGGATGTTAGATGATCTTTTTCGTAAGACTAAGACCACACCACCTTTATATTGGATGCCTTTATCAAAAGAAGAGGTCAGTTATTTGTTTCTTATTAATAATAGCTGTAGCATAAATTCAAAATACATGTAGTTTTGCAATTACATGTACATATGTTCAAAATTATGCCGTGTTTTCATTAGTTGGCCTCAGAAATAGGACTTTCCCTGTCTTGCAATAAAAGGCAAATGTCTCGTCATTGTTCTTTTTTTTCATCATATTGCCCCCATAACTTTGGATTCTTTTCATAATGTTTTGCTGTCATCACTGTCTCTTCAAGGGGCACTGCTTTCTCCTTGTGTCTGGTATGATCTGATGCTGGAGCCTGGCTATCATCATATGACACTAGTCTTAAAGTACTGCCATTTAAAAACTCTTTGAGGCTACACGATCTGACTCTGGTGTGTTGATACCAGTGTATCCAATCAGTTATGGTCTCTCTTATCCCACTGGTAGCAAAGTGTATCACTTCATAGTTGTCTTCTCCTATGTATATGCCATGCTTGGGATGCCTATAGAAAAATGCTGAATAGCAGTAGATGTGATCTCCTGGTTTGAGATCTTTTTCATCTACTGCATGAGAAAGATCTCCAACTCTATCCTTTGAATCATCATTAGTTGAATTCTTGTTGCCCATTTTTTAGTATAGTCTGCAGTTTATTTTGCTGGTTGGAATTGACAGGCTTGCTTATGAATAATATTTTTAGTGTCTTTGAATTTTATTATAATCATTGTCTGCTTAACTTGTTTTATTTTTTCTATTTTAGATTGATCGTAATGAGGCTGAAAGAAAAGAGAGGGAGATGGAAAGAGAGAAACGAAGAGAAGAGAGAAGGAAGGAGTTAGAGGAAGAGGCTGCCGAGAGAAGAGAGAAAAGAAACAGAGAGGAGAGAGACAGGAGACGGCGTCACTCGAGATCACGATCGCCTAGACGATCCCGCTCTCCTCGTAGGAGCTCTAGGAGTCCAAGACGACGCTACTAGTTCAATACTTATGTGAAATAAAAGCAGAAGAAACTCTGTTACATACATACGCTCATACTCTCTTTATCTCTCTCTCTCTCTCAGTCATCTTTATTTTTTGAAGTTTTTGTTATTCTCCTTAAAAATGATAACTAGTATATCTCTGTATACTTTAAAACTAAAGAAACCCAAAGGAATCCGTATTTGTCATCCCCGTATATTAACTCGAGGAAAACATGGCTGCCGGTCAGCAGCAGCAAAGTCCACTCGGGGTCATTTTTCAAACTATCAAGCAAGCCCAGGAAGAGGATGGAGCTAAGAATGAACTGGTAAGGAACCTAGTAAAGGTTATTGGCCTAATCATGGCTTGTAATCCTTCAGGAGGCTCACCAGAGATACCTCTCAGCGGTGCAGTACATATCAGTGCTCCTGCAGCAGCAGATACAGATACAGAATTCTTGTTAGTCTACATATCATAACGTAGGAATTTGTCGTCAGAATCAGCTCAAACTTTTTACATAGCATACAAGGGCATTAATGAAAATGAATATAAAATGGGGAGTGTTTCAGAACTGATTCTTTAATAGTAACTATTGTAGATACATGCATCGAAGTCATAGCTACAATTAGCTATTTGTCAACTCTTGCTATGCAGTGGCTTCTATGTTCCCCTTATTGATAATTGAAAACACCCAAACTAAAAGTACTACTAGTATATATTTGTTTAAAATAACACGTGATATATTTGTTTTTGTAATAAAGTGTCTGTTCTCTTCTTCTAGCTTCTCTTTCTCCTCAGAAAACCTTACAACTATTCACAATGGCAAAGCATTGTCTCGAACAAGCAGAGGCACTGTACAATACATCAGTCAAGGAGAACAGACGATTAAAAGGGAAGCCACCTCTTCTCAGCTCTGTGTCATTGCCCTCTGTTCCAGTTCCATCCCCTACTCTACCAGGAAGGGAGTCTCCAGTTGCTAGTGGATGTGGTAGAGGTACAGGAAGAGGAAGGGGAGGGGGAGGACCACTTCGATCAAACTCATTTGTAAGTATATATCTACAGTACACTTCTATCAACAGTGATTGTTTATAAAAGGATGTAATTTATTTTAAACTGTAATTATACTGCCACAATTAAATTGAAGCCTGGTATATGTTAACTGATGAACGTGTTATGTTATTCTTTTATGCCATAGGGACTCAATACGGGCCCCAGTGGTACACATCCTAATGCACCAAGATCATCAAGTGTGGGACAAAAAAAACCTCCAACTGTTAAGTAAATATTGCCAGTTTTAATCTTTTAAAATGTTTTCATTCCTCTCTCTTTCTCTCTGTCTCTGTCTCTCTCTGTCTCTCTGTCTCTCTCTCTCTCTCAGGGCATTGCATACGATATCTCCTATGGAAGCTGCCAGAAGAGAAAACATGCATTTGATGGTCCAGTATCAAACTGCACTTAGGAATAATCCTAACATGAGCATAAGAGGAAGCCAGAATCTGGTATATACATGTACTTGCATACTTTTGTTGCTATTATGTCTCTCTCTCTCTTTCCTTTAATAGAGTTTGAATTACCTCAGGAGGTTAGAGGAAAACTTGAGTCTAGCAAGGCAGACAGAGAAATCTGTATCCATCTTGTCTTAATTTATGCACAGATCTATCATTATTGTTATTATTTCACTAGTCAGAGTTTAATCTTTAACTTTGATTTAGATGGCAAATAAATTGAGACAGAGAGAAATTCGTCTTCAAGAAGAGGCTCAAAAGTAATAATTTTTTTTTCAATTAAATTATTGCCATTAAATTTTATTTATTAGACTAAAAGTGAGATCAATTGATTCATTGACTGCAGAACAACTACGAGAAGAAGTGATTCAGTTTGAAAATGGAAAAGCAAGTGCTTTGATTTCTCTTACTCGTTCATTCTTTTTCTTAAAGGCTAAATTTAATGGATTGAAACAAGCTCTTTCATCTGATAATTGTGACAATACGACCAATTTAGTTGTGAATTTAATTCATGAAGTTTTAAAGTATACAATTAACAGATTTTCTATTTCAATTGTTCTCTTTTCTCAGTACAACAGATCACCCTCTCCGTAGGCTATTTGGCGAGTCTCAGTACAACATCATCCAAATACTGCAGCCAGTTGTGAGGGAGATTGAGAGATCCGGTTGCACTGACTTACCTAAATTAAACATAACTCAAATTCAAAAAGGTATATAGCTCTTGTGAATATTCACTTATACTAATGAGCCTCTTTCTCTCAAGATTGTACAGATCCTTCTCCGTCTTCTTCGCTGCATGAGCAAAGAGAGTCACCTAAAGTCCATAGCAGACCTCACTCAGTTTCTGCTCCAGAGGACATTAAATTGGCTCAAGTCAGAACCCAGGCTCCCGGACATTTTGAAAACACATCCCCAGTGATGTCACCTTCCTCCACTGGAAGCAGCAGTAATGCAGAGGAGATTGAGGAAAGAGTTGAAGATGAGGACTTAAAAACTATGCCTGACTTCAAAACAATAAGGCAAGATGATGATGATGATGATGATGATGATGAGTTTGAGACGTTGAAAGCAAATCAAGATGAAGAAGGACTCAGTACAATGAAGTCAGAGAGAGGAAGAGATGAGGAGACAGAGGAGGAGGATGAAGTGATATTTCCATCATTGTTACCATTATCCTGTACTCCATTATTCGGTGACAAAGACAAGATAGAGTCCCTTGCTTTAAAGTTTGAGGGACTCCTTGAAGAAACTGTCAAACTAATTCACAGTGCTTTGAGTAAGTACACACCATACTCATGCACCTACTTCTCTCTCTCTCTCTCTCTCTCACTCACTCTCTCTCTCTCTCTCTTTCTCTCTCTCTCAGAGAAGATCATAACTTCATTTGTATCTATATACACTTCATTAAGCAGTAGGGATAATTACGATATATGCAAAACTGCAATCGAGTCGCTTTTCTTTCCAGCTATACTCCCAATGCTCACTTCACTATACAGGTCAGTTTTACAGTCTTGAATATCATAGTATATGCCAATGTACAGGTATATGCATTCTTTAATCTCAATGGTACGTGTAATTTTAATTGATTACATACAACCAACATCTGGTTGGTTTGCCAAGCAAATACTATTTGAAATCACTATTATGATAAGTGTGCTAATACTATTATGTATTGCAGTAGTGTGGAATGTACATTATTATTATTATTATTATTGTTTGTTGTTTTAAACATGAGTACTGTACTTGTAGGTGTTCTAAATATGCCAAAGAGTGTTCAGTTGCTGTTAATATGATGAAGCATGTCAACTCAACTCCTAAAGACATAGCAGTGAGGAAGAAGTACTGGCTTAATGACCAGGTCAAGATTTTAAAATTGTTTATTGTTATTATTACATGTATTATTATTATTGTTGTTGTTGTTGTTGTTGTTGTTGTTGTTGTTAGGCCATGCCTCCTTATTTGGCGGCAATTGAGCAGCTAAAGTCGTTGCCACGGTTACAGTGCCCCTCCCTCAAGTTGGATTGTCTAGTGACTCTCTCTAAAGTCATCGTTCAAACTATTGATGATTATTATTTCACCGGACACTTTTCTTTCTCTTCCTCTTCTTCCTCTTGCTCAGAAAAAGAGATAAACAAGGAAGACATTTCTGTGTAAGGATTACCTAGTAGAATTATATAAAACTTTTGATTTCTTCTTCCATTCCTCCCTGTCCCCCAGAGGTGTAGATGACCTATTGCCCATAATGACTTACATCATCATTCGCTCTGGTATGCCTCAGTTAGTCTCAGAATCTGCCATGCTACAAGAATTTGTTGATGAAAAGTAACTTAAGCCCAACATACACAGGGCAACATGTTGTATTCAACATGTTGCCTCGTGTGTGATAGCAAATTTGTTGCATGCAACATCCAAGCAACATGTTGCTTCAAGTTGAAAAATTTCAACTTCAAGCAGCATGTTGCTTCAAAACATCAAAGGTAACTAGGCAACACATAAGGAATGCAATAATAACTTCAGCCTTTTATTCATAATAATTATTATTATAAAAATAGCAAGCAACATGTTTCTCCTTTTGTTCAATAGTGTGCAACATGTTGCTTGATGTTGCATTCAACATGTTGCCCCGTGTATGTTGGGCTTTAAAGAGAGAGAGAAGATTATTTTATTACAGGGAGAGTTTTTATTTGTTCTTTTTTTCTTTTGTTTAGTTATTTAATGGGTGAGGAAGGATTTTGTCTTACAACCTTTGATACAGCACTCAGATATGTTGAGGTTATGTCAAGCAGTTAGTGGTGTCTCATTCTCCTCTTCTTCATTCGTTTTCTCTTTGTACTTTTACATTTTCACTTTTTACAAATTTAAGTTTGAACATTTTTTGCCTAAAATTCAAACTTTTCAAGTAGGCATCAGCAACAATGACATTATCTAATTAGAGAATTGAAATTGGTAATTTTAATTAATTATTATCCTATCCAGTTAAAAGCAAGAGCACATAATACTCTTGTTAATAGTTATGATTAGTAAGAGTCAGTGAACGTTAATAATATCTCGGGTTGATCTTCTGTTCATTCTTGAGGCCTTTGCTGAGTCTTTCAATCGTACTATTGTGGACTTTGTGAGCATCCTGTTGAAGGACGGCATGGGAACTGGTATCGGCTTATGCATTGAAATCGGTCTGACTAGCCGCAGACCTGTTTTGAGGGAGAAGGAAAGAATGCAGCCGTCTAAAGAGAAGGAAATAAATGTTCGTGTATAATAATATTCATCAAGATGTACTGAATGTATGTACGTACCAAGCATCATTTGACTATCATAGGAGTCAAGATTAGCGTTAAGGCCAGACCAACGACTATTAGAATCAAGTGAATGCATTGACGTTGTTGAATGCGTTTTAGGTGCCCAACGCCACAACAAAAACCTAAAAAATGCAAATAATTATTATTGATTAAAATTTGACAGTTTTGCTTTCTCTGAAACTACCTTTTCCAGTACATAATGAGAATAGCAAAAATATGAAGGGCAGCTTTGTGGAACAGACCACGTCCTACTGTCCCTTGATTTAAGTTGTCTAGTATCTCTGTAACTATCTCATTTGTTATGTTGATCTATAAGCAGAGAGTAAGAGGGTAATTCCAATTACATATTAATCAGTATTTTCATAGCATACCTGTACTCTGGGTGGTACGCTAGAATCTATGTAGCAGTTTACAATTGCGTGTGCTTTCTTGTGTATCATAATTTCATCTTCTGGTGTATAATTCCCGCTGTCTTTCGCAGCATTAATAACGTCTGCAATATCTTTAAACCTACCATGATTGATGCAATAAAATCTTGTATCATGCACTCTACATATATGTACCTTTCCACTTCAGCCCAGAAGCTAAGGTCACTCAATAGTTTAGTAACATTTACAACTCGGCGTCCAATCAGTTTCTTTCCTTTTCCAGACATGTCACCGTTCAATACTTCAATTGTTAGGAATTTTTTGAATAGACTCAGTGTCTTCGCTTCCATTAGACCTCGTCTAAATCCAACCACTGTCCTTACAAACACATGCCACATTGCTTTCTGAAAATTTAATGGTTTCAATATGCTTCAATTTTTTTATTTATTTTTCTCACTGTTTGATTCTTTGTGGCTCTAGCTTTTACATTAGTCTTTGAATCATCTCCTTTAAGTTTTGATGATTTACCTCTGCCTGATCTGCTGCTGTTCTCTTCATTGCCAAATTCTTCCAACAAAAACTTAATATACTCCGGAAACCTGTTGCAATAAATTTATATTAATAGAAAAGCAAAAAAGTCCATGGTTTTTCCAAAAAATTAATGGTTCCAAAATTACCTCAAATTTTTATTACATTTTCTAATACATATTGATGTCCTTATACTGTGTAGAAAGTTTGAGTCGATTTCGAGCTTAATTTTTCAAGTTATGGCCATTTTTATAAATGGGTCAATTTTTGAAAAATACCCAAGGCTATAGCCCATGGTTTTTTCTAAAAAATGGCTCCAAAATCACCCCCAATTTTTATTACATTTTCTGATACATATTGATGTCCTTATGCTTTGTAGAAAGTTTGAGCTGATTCCGATGAAAAATTTTCAAGTTATGACCATTTTTAAAAACGGGCCAATTTTTGAAAAATATCCAAGGCTATAATAGCCCATGGTTTTTTCCAAAAAAATGGCTCCGAAATCACCCTCAATTTTTATTACATTTTTTGATACATATTGATGTCCTTATGTTGTGTAGAAAGTTTGAGTCAATTCCGATAAAAAATTTTCAAGTTATGACCATTTTTAAAAAACGGGCTAATTTTTGAAAAATACCCAAGGCTATAGCCCATGGTTTTTTCCAAAAAATGGCTCCGAAATCACCCTCAATTTTTATTACATTTTCTGATACATATCAATGTCCTTATGCTTTGTAGAAAGTTTGAGCTGATTCCGATAAAAAATTTTTGAGTTATGAGCATTTTTAAAAAACAAGCCAATAATACATGTACACTGTACATACATTTACATTTGTAAATACTAATATTGTACCATTTTGATTCTAATAGTTTAGCAACTCCTTCTTGAGCATCCATTAATTGAAAAGGTGTTGGAAAATCTGTTGCTGAAACTTCAAGCACTGAGCTATCTTGACAATATGTACCTTTATAGTTAAAACAATTAAAAATTTTGGTAGTTTTATGAAAAAACTTACTCATATCAAGTGTTTCCTTAAAAAATCGTCTCATTATCCTTCGTATTTTAGTATTGCATAGTCTAGTGTCTCCAATCACGTCTTTCATGTCCTCAACTGCTAGCCAAAATACAATATTCACCTCAACTCCAATCCCGAGGGAACACAGGAAATGATAGAAGCACTCCAAGTGAGCCATACTCTTTAACATACTTTGAAAACTCCTGCAATAATGCAAGGCAATTTTAAAAATTAATTTTAATTTGAGCTTACTCTGGTACTGGAGGTTTTTTGCCAAGTACATCAGTCACTATTGCTGGTTTGCTGCAATACACTGTTTTCTTAGTGTGCCTCCTAGCTGACCTATAAGTTGATGTCTGTATAGTTGTGACCATTGGGGTCAGGGTCAGTCCTCTGTATGTTATTGGGCCTATGTCTCCTGGAGTTGGAACACGACTGCTACCTCTGTCCTTAAAACGAGGAAGGTTTCGCTTGTTTGCGGATGAAGGTCTTTCTCCCATTGGAACTGGCTGTGTATATATTTGCATTGAGAGACGAGATGGAAGTTGCAAAAGACCTATAATAATTATAACGTTGACAAACTTGCATTCAAACTAATCCAACAATAATTCATTGTACTATTACCACTATTTACCAGGGTTTTCAAGTAGCTCTGTGTATTCAACAGCCCTCCATATTTTCCTGATGCTGTGAGTATCAGCAGTGTCAAAAGTCAAAGGCAAGACTTCCTTGATTGATTGTGATTCTCTAAACAGTTGTGATTGCTCTCTTTGTATAGCCTCAGCAAGGTGACCAAGTTCCCTCCTAGTAACCTGAATGGACACACTACCATGATTCATAAATGATATTAATTTAAACTTACACATGAAACATGAAAAGAACTGTTATCATGCATCATGTATCTGATCCAATATTGCTCAAATTTCTATAAAGGTAATCAATAAGCTCACACCACATGCACATGCAACCTTACTTTACAAGTATAATCTTGTACTTCTAGTAGCAGGGAATGTCCCAGTCCTTTGGGTAGCATGATGTGCAGTTGTCGCTGCATTTCTGATGGAAGATCAACAAAGAAATCAGAGTTATCATCAATGTAAAGCTCTAGGAGTGATTCTAGATCTGCAGCTAATGGATAAGTTGAAAAGAGGCTAAGATAAGGGCAAATTGTGTCTGTGTCTATTTTGCTGACTCCATTATACCAACGCTTCATCTCATCTCTTGTCAGAATCAGCTCGGTTGATTGCCAGAACAAAAGAAAGTTTCTTGCTTGCGTTCTCTCTTCATCTCTCATTCTTGTAAAGAAATGCATCATTGGATTCCCGGCTGAGAAATTGCTACGGATTGATGCCTGTATGAATGGCATGAACTTCAAACTTCCTTGCTTTTGCTCTTTGGCAGGTTCTTTGCCGGCTTCTACCGAAGCTGAAAACAAATTCTGTGTGCTCTGACTAATGAGAGGCTTAACTTTCTCTTTCTTTTTCTTTTTCTTTGATTTTGGTGCTTTGCCTTGACCCTTTCCTGCTTCAGCTGACAGCAGCTTTCTTTCTACTTCTTGCCCAGGGACTGTTATCTCAACAGACTCGTCCCCATGGTCTATCATAGTTCCTTCTTGCAGCTCATTCAGCTCATCCTCTGTTTCTGAAGCACTATCGCTATCATTGTCTTCTTCGTTTTTCTTTTCGACTGCAGTCATGGCTGATTGAATTATGAGATACTGTTCATACCAGTATGTCTTAAGGAGAGCAAATAAGTCATCCTGCCACTTCAAAATATTTGCTATTTCCTCCTTAAGTGTTGAGGCCTCACAAGTTGCAAAGAGAATATCCTTACGCAGGTTGAGTTCAAGCTGAAAGGGAGCTCCATTTATGAGGAAAAGATCCTTCAATTGTGCCACTAGCTGTTTCTGCTGAGAAGCCGTTTCCATGAATTTGAGCCTCTCCATGCTAAACCAAAGCAGACAGTACGCTTCACCAGGACTGAAGCGAAGAAAGAGTATAAATTTTTGCAATTCTTTGGCTGTGCAAGGCTGGGCTGGGGCATGTCTATTACCTACAAAAAATAATTCACAATAATGGGCAAGCCGGGATTTTGCATTAACTTATGCTTACTGGTTGTTAATGGCTTGCTGTTTGTCAATTCATAGCAAAGCCTGTATCCATAGAATAGCTCTGATTTCCAAAAGAGAGGCAGTCTGTGACTGTATACCCATTGCCATACATTATGATGATCAACTTTCTATTTTGCAATCATTAATAATTATTATAATTATCACTGACTACTAAAATTAAAATTTCACTAATGACTAACTTGAAAGTTTGCTGATGGATAAGGACAAATATCAAAGTATTTAGAGACACTAGAATAACGAAAGCGTCTTGAAAATATCTGCAAAAATAATTTAAAATCTCTATGATCTCTTAGCAGTACAACTGTGCTGCACAACAAAGGCACTAACTGGTAGCTGAAGAAAAGTATTGAAATGGTCTTTGAAACAACAGTCTTCTGCAAGTAGTTTCCTGAACTCTTCAAATGTAGGGAACTGACTAGCAGCCGGCATGACAGCTACAGCAACTAGCCTCTCTGTCTCCACGCTAAAGAGATGCGTTTACCAGAGACAGCTCCCGCGAAAACGGACCAATCAGATTGCAAATCATCAGCACAGACTAACCACGCCCATTTAATTATCTATATCGTACAGGTAAACAAAGAAAAATGGACGGTGACATAGGTACATGGATTAGTAGTATTCCCAAAGTGACACGGTACTGGTTCTTCTCCTTCTTCATTGTACCTCTAACGACTCGACTTGGACTCATAAATCCGGTCAATCTAATATTGATCTCAGGAAAAACGATCTATGAATTCCAGGTACAAAGCCACTCCCTTTATAATTAATTATGCATACAAACTGAAGTATTAAAATTAAATTTTGTTTATCGTTTTAAGATATGGCGATTAGTCACATCTCTCCTGTGGCATCCGGTTAACTTCAATTGGCTAATGATGTTATTCTTTTTATACAATTACTCCCGACTTCTTGAAGAAGGTTAATAATGTTTATCATAATTATTACTTATCCCCCCCCCCTCTCTCTCTTTATCCTCCTTGCAGGTCATTTTACAGGTAGACCAGCAGATTATATCTTTATGATACTTTTTAATGCAATATGTATTGATGTATCCACCCACATAACTGATTACTTGTAGATTACCAGTACTATTAATTAGTTTATTGTAAAGCTGTTATAGTGTCTTAGCTATGCACTAGATTGCAGGGTTATTTTTTGATTTATACATCATGAGTCCGGCACTAATATTCTCAGTGTTGTACGTTTGGTGTCAGATCAATAAAGACACTATTGTCCGCTTCTGGTTCGGTATACAAGTTAGAGTAAGCTAAAATGAATAATAATGAATAGTAATTGATGATGAGTATTATTTTCTTTTTATACAGGCAATGTATTTTCCTTGGATATTGTTTCTGTTTTTCTTCATATTAGGAGCAAAGTAATTTTTAATAATTTTAATTTTGATCAGATTCAGTTTAAATTTAATACACAACATAAGAAGCATCACAAAATTGATTAGAGTTAAAATTCTTTTCTATAACTACCTGCTATCGTCATTCCTGTTATTTTACAGTTGGCCTATATTGCTCCTTGGCATACTTGTTGGACATCTTTATTTTTTCCTAATGTACAAATATCCACAAGAATTTGGTGGGACTCAACTTCTTTCTACTCCTAAATTCCTGTGAGTTTAATCCCTTGATTACATACACATAACCTCCTTTTCTTGATACTATTATAGCTACAGTTTCTTACCGAATGAAAGGACTATGGGTGGTTTTGGTGCTGCCCCCCAGAGAAGGAGGGATGAGAGGGGAGACAACAGGTGGGGGAGAGGAGGACATGACTGGGGTCAAGGCCAAAGGCTAGGAGATTTTTAATTTCAATTTGTACTAATATAAAAGCCACCGCTAACTAAAATGACAATAATATTTTACACAGGCTAACTAAAATGACAACACAAGGCTAGGAGATTGTAATCAATTTTAATTTTAAAATGATATAACAATAAATAATAATAATAATAATAATAATAATAGTGAAGCACGTTGCCATGTCATGTGTTATTTAAGAGAAGAAAGTGAGAGATAGAGAGTGAAGACATTCATGTATGTACATGTATATCAATCAGTTTCCTTTATCTAGAAGCATCAAATGGTGAACTGATTATTAAGCCACCAAGATCAGGAACCAATCCCTCTTTATCCTTAAAAAAAAGATAAAGCAAGAGAGAGAGCCCACAAATCAACTCACAGCTTTATAATCCAAGAACATTTGTTTAAATGTCAGAAAGTCAGTGAAAGAGAGAAGAATTTCAAATATTTCCTCTGGAATTTCAGACTTCTTTGACCTGAAGGATATTATAAAGACTGTGATATTGCATAAAAAGCTTACTCTAGTAATTGTAAGAATTTAGTCATGTCAAAATGAGGTATTCTCATCTCTAACTGAGTCTCTATATGTTTTTCAACAAGCTCAGTCTAAGAAAAAGATGACATTAAGTTAAAGGAGAGATAGGGTGCCCATACATATTTCTTTTGTATGTCCGTGTATATTAGCTTATTCTCTTCGACATCTTCAAAGTAATGGTAATGTTCATCCATAAACGAGTGCTGGAGAGCCAGAAACTCCTCGTCTAACGGACATCAAAACACGTACATGTATATACTTATTATTACTATTATTTCTACCAATTATAATATCTTGCAAGTGTCCTATTATTATGTCAAATTCTCCATCTTGAGAATTACCAACACTATCAATTATATAACATAAAATTGATGCACATTAATTTTATCATCTTACATTTCCAGAAAAATTTCACCATTTTCTTCTTTTGCCTTGTCTTCAGTGACTCCATTTTTTATCTCTAGAATTCGAAAAATTGGCCATAAACAAATTATACGAGGACAAACTTACTGGCCATTGAGCTGGCCATCCTTCCCAACATTCCAAGAGAAAAACAATCTCTGCTAGAATTTAATTTTTTGATTTTTATGTTCGCTTAATTAGAAATGGCGGGAAACTTTTAAATAGAAAATAATTTTACCAAAATGGTGACCTGCTCTACGACTAAAATAATCGTTCTTGTGTCCTTTATGCTTCTCTTCTATTGGTGTCTTAAAATGTACAATAATTTTGTGACGGCTAGCTGTACCCATCCTTCCCGCTGCCTCACTCCTGCTTATCCTATGAACAGGAAAATGGAGGTACATAAATATACATATACCACGCCCACTAAAAGCCACGCCTATTTTAATTATTTTTTGGTTTCTAGTTTTTAGGTTTTATCTCAACATCTTCTGATATCAAAAGAAAAAGAGGAAGGATTCATTTGGTGAACGAAACTAATTTTTTACGCAACAAGCAATGGGATATGTAAGTACGAAATAATAATTATTATTATGTATATATTTCCTTGCTTTTTGTCTCAGTAATATCAATGTAACTTTGCCTAATTCAACACTTCAAAATGGCTCACTGTATCTTCATCTCTTTCTTGGTCCTTTGAGCCCGTCAGAGCATCTTAATTCCAACAAACTGACTTCTCTCTCGATTCCTTTAACGCGCTACAAAATCCCATCAGCAAACAGGTTTAACTTACTGCAAGGAGACTACGAAGTAATGAATGAAAAAAAACATTATTTATATTATAAAATATTTCCTTTGATAGTCCATAGGAGATGATGGGCCCTCTTCTTCATATCCTGTAACTCACTGGATACCAGTCATTGGTTTGTATGGTGTGGGTGAAGATTGGTCTTTTGATAGTAATCTCCTACCCCCTGAGCTATGGATCATGCAGACATTGAAGTAAGTACTTACATGTACATCTTAATGTGTAGCTGTGCAGCTGTGCTTTCGTGTAATTTTGTGTTTCTCTGCTTGTCTGTTTGCTATGTCTGCGTGTTTCTTTCCCCCTAAGGTTAATCCCCTATACAATGACATATCTACCAATACTGTATCATAATGAATTACGCATACTCAAGAGGGACATGATTGTGAGTCAGCCTGTTTGAATAGGATTAGAATTGATATCCTTTTCTCTAGCAAGTATTCCCCTCAAATAAGACTATGAGCCTCTCTCTCTCTTATTATCCTGTTGGACTCACTCAGTTAAGAGTTTGGATACAGTTCCAGTTTGCATTCAAATCAATGAATACACTAGGTTTGTACAACTATATAAATGTGCTTTGGTACAGGTTTAATTTTGTTGTTTAGGTTTTCCTGAGAAAGAGCTGGATACAGTGAAGGAGCTTGTCTTTGGTGCAAATCTTTATCTGCTTGGACTCACTTTCTTTGTCTCTTTCTTTCATGTCAGTAATCCTTGCATGCATGCACGCTGTCTGATTAGCTAATGTAATTTTTTTTAGTTATTATTTGATTTTTTGGCATTCAAAAATGACGTGAATTTCTGGAGAGGAAGAAAGACAATCGTTGGCATGTCAAGAAGAACTAGTTAGCAGTAACTTCATAATTAATCTTCTAATTCTCCTTCTTCTCAGTTTTGTGGAGGTGCTTTAGCTACACGGTTGTGGTACTTTATCTGCTGGAAGAAGAGACAAGTCTTTTGATATCTGTTCCTGCTGGGATATCAGCTATAATTGAGGTAACCAGTATCATTATCTACTCTAATTTCCTGCCTTTCTTTAGTACTGGAAAGTTTGGAAGACTCTGAAGCTTCGGCTGGTCAGAGATGATGGATTTTTCCCTAAAATAAAAGTGATTCTGTTTTTATGTATGAAAGTGTATTGAAGGATCCATTTTATAGTTTATGGAGCGACTGGAGGAGGAGAAAGTGACTGAAAACTATGACTCACAAGCAATGAAATACTTGTCAATATTACTAATACCATTAGTCTTACTTGGTGCTGTATATTGCTTACTCTACCTATCTTATAAGAGGTAATGTTCAGTAATAATGTATTTACATGCTCTTATCATTTATAATATAGCTGGTATTCTTGGATAGTGCATAGTCTTGTGAATGGTAAGAGCCCTAATGTGCATCCTTTTCATTAGATTCATAATCTCTCTAGGTGTGTATGCTTTTGGTTTTCTCTTCATGCTCCCGCAGTTATTTGTCAATTATAAAGTATTCCATATCTCGTTGAATGATAATCTATTTATCCTTTCCTCAGTTGAAATCTGTTGCACATTTACCTTGGAGGGCTTTTATGTACAAGGTATGTGAACCAGATCCTCTTTCAATCTTCTTTCCATTTTCACTTCCTATACAGGCATTCAATACATTCATTGATGACGTGTTTGCCTTTATCATTACAATGCCAACCTCACACAGGATTGCTGTTTTCAGAGACGATCTAGTCTTTCTTGTCTACCTCTATCAGAGATGGTGAGTAATATTTTAAGATTTAAATATATGAGTCTCTCCTTATCTCAGGTTGTATCCAGTTGATAAGAGCAGAGTGAATGAATTTGGTGAGTCATTTACTGCTGTGAGCAGCAAGGAGAAGAAAAGAATCAAGAAAGACTAATTAAATTTTTTTGTATCATAATAATATTACTGTATTTTTTTATAAATTTAAAAAAACAACTAAATCATGACATTTTGAACAATAAAAGGAAGAAATGTATTAAAGTTTCCAATACGTGTGTCTTAAAGTTATGGCTGATCCCTTGTCCTTTGTTAGTCAGAGTCTGAGTCATACACCTTTCTCCTATCAAACTAGAGCAGATAAAAGATTTTAAATTCTTTCCAAACATAGCAAACAGTATGATTACTTTAACAGTTGTCTTCTTTGGTTGATTAACTTGTTCTAGCAACTTCACTAGCTCACTCTCTCCTAACTGAAATGTGCAAAAAGTATAATTATAGGAGTTTCCCACAGGATTAAAGTTGGTCAAAAATTGGGTCAAAGAGCCTGTACTATGGTACAGGGTATTTTGTCAAAAATGACATGGAAAGAATTTTCCATTTTTATAACTTTATCTAATATATATACATGTTCTTATGTTGTGTAGAAAGTTTGAGTTGATTCCGATCAAATTTAGATTTTTTATGAATTTTTAAAGTTATTCAAAAATCAGGCCAAAGTCCCTGTACTATAGTACAGGGACTTTGGACAAATTTCGACAAAAATGACTAGGAGAGAATTCTTCATTTTTATAATTTTATCTGATACATATACATGTTCTTATGTTGTGTAGAAAGTTTGAGCTGATTCTAATAAAATTTAGATTTTTTATGAATTTTTAAAGTTACTCAAAATACCCTATGGACTCTTGCCTATAGATAGTGCAGGATATTTTGTCAAAAATGGCAGAGAATTCTCCGTTATTATAATTTTGACTGATACATACATAAAAGCCAAGTTACTCCATAAGCCAAACATACTTTTTAGCTCACTTAGCAATGGTTTATGGGGGGGGGGTACAACTGGGCAATTAATGTAAATAGTACTAAATACCTTTCCCTGTATCTGTCCCATCTGTGCCATTCGTATTAACATCCTTTCAATCGATTGAGCTTTCTCTGGCCTAACCAACCCAATACTGTTAACTACGGGTAAATGTGGAGTCAGTAGTGGTTACAATAGGGCGTGTTTCTTACGTCTAGCTCTTGCATCTTGCTCAAGTATTTGAGTCAACATGACATTTATCATCTCTTTTTCCTTTTGAACTTCTTTCTCTTGATCTTCTTGCTGTTTTTTGTTTGTAGACAATTAACAGGCTATATTTTAAGTTCTTACCTTCATGCCATACTGAGATTGAAGTTCTGCCAGTCTTTTGGCACGAATATCATCCAATTCACTGTCAGCCATATTCACACAGAGACACACCTCCTTGTTGAGGTGCAGCACGTGGTTTCCGTACACTTCAGGACTCCAGACCTAGACATCCGTATTCTTAAACATGGCTGCTACAACTCCAAGGCCCTGCGTGGTCTCTATACTATTTTTTCTATCTACCTTCCTTGCTTTTGCAAATTCAGTGGTAGATGTGAGCGGCAATAGTCTTAACTTTCTGGTGATTGGTGACTGGGGCGGTATGTCTGATGAACCCTACTACACGGTTGGACAGAGCAAAGTTGCATCAGTAATGGGCGAAAAAGCTGAAAAGATTGACTCTCAATTCACTCTGGCAGTTGGAGACAATTTCTATGAAGATGGAGTGAAGGATGTGGATGATCCTCGCTTCAACGAAACATTTGAAGTAAGTCAAGTATCTAAACCTTGAGCTCGCCCCCGCATCTAATTATAACACCTTTTGCCTGTAGGAGGTGTTCACTGCTCCTTCTCTTCAGAAACGTTGGTATGCTATATGTGGCAATCATGACTACAATGGTAATGCATCAGCACAGGTTGCATACACGCAAAAGTCAGCTCGATGGTACATGCCTAGTTTTTACTACACTGAGGTAATTTGCATACTTCAACAATTATAATTATTATTTTTGGAATATTCCGTTTTAATATCAACGTTGCAATTTCTTTTTATTTGACAAAATGCAGCCATATTTACAGCCAAAAATTAAAAATTTAAGGAATTTATTTTCTCAGTGACCAGATGACTAATATTTTACCCACCCCAACACATCATTTTCCTTCATTCTTTCATTTAGATATTCAACCTCAGTAGCTCAAATATCACAATTCAATTTGTGTTCATTGACACTGTTATTCTTTGTGGCTTGTCACACCCAAAACTGAGACACTTGCCACCCAGCGGTCCACAGAGCTCTGATCTTGCTGATGATCAGTGGGCCTGGATTGAAAGTACACTCCAGCAATCAACTGCTGACTGGTTGATAGTTAGTGGACACTATCCTGGTAAGAAAGAGAGCCTGAGCCAGAACAGTGACACTATTTCAATTTATTTGTGTAATTTTAGTATGGTCAGCTGCTCATCACGGTCCTACTGATATACTTGTAAAGCAATTGAGGCCTTTACTAATTAAATATAATGTAACTGCGTAAGTTTGCAGCTGTCTATTATTATTTCACTCTTTCCTCCATTAATTTATCATCCTGATCATATTGCATGTTGTTGTTGTTATTCCCATCATAATAGATATATCGCCGGTCATGATCATGACATGCAGCACTTGAAGGAAGACGACTCTTCAGTTAATTATTTTGTCTCAGGAGCAGGTCACGAGGTGGATTCATCCTCTAAGCATGAAGTATAAGTCTATGCATTGTATAGGATTAAACAACAGAGAATAAAAATGCTGTCACTCACTGGTTTTGTTGCATTTCAGTTCACTTGTATTATATATGTTATAGGACAGTGTACCTGAAAACTCACTGAAGTATCGTTATGGCAAGAGCGACTCTGAGAAACATGGAGCTTTTGGCGTTGTTACAATTAATGACAAGATTATGAATGTCACGTTTTTCAATCACCATGGTAAGTTGAAGATGCTGCACGTCTGGCTGCCTTATAGCTTAAAATACTTCTATTTTTAATTCAGGGAGAGAACTTTACAATACTACAGTGGAGCGGATCAGAAATATACATTGAGAACTGTTTAATGTTTGTAATGTTTACGTTTTAATTTTAATGTTTAATTTTAATGTTTATGTTTTGTGCATGTGATAAACTGTGATTAAAATGATTATCATTACAGAGTAACATTCCGTAAACTAGTGCTGCTATTGCAATGGCAGTTGTGCTCTCCTTTCTCATTCTATCTCTCTTCGTTGCTTCTTCTCTATCAGCCCAACCAGTAGAAATAGGCGATGGGGACCTTAATTTTCTTATGATAGGAGACTGGGGAGGAATGCCTAGTCCTCCGTACTACACTGACGCAGAGCACGTCCTTGCGGGAGTCATGGGAGATAAAGCTCAAGAGATAAGCTCTGATTTCACTGTGGCCATGGGTGACAACTTTTACACGTATGGAGTTAAGAGTGTGGATGATCCTCGCTTCAAGGAAACTTTTGAGGTCAGAAATCAGCGAGCCACGCCCTTGTAGTTATCTACCCACGCAATATTAATTTTCACCTTTTAAAAAATATTTTGGGTTATAGGATGTATTTACTGCTGATTCTCTTCAAAAGCGTTGGTATGTTTTCTGTGGGAATCATGATCATTATGGTAATGCAAGTGCACAGGTTGCATATACACAGAAATCATCACGCTGGTACATGCCTGACCTGTATTATACTGAGGTAAAGTTCTACTTACTGTGCACCCAATAATTAATTCTTGTTTCCATTAACACAGACATTCAAGCTCAATGACAGCAATGGTACTACAGTTCAGATGGTATTCATTGATACAGTATTATTAGCTGGAGTAACGCACCCAGAACTACGGTCCTTGCCACCCAGCGGCCCAGAGATTCCTAATCTTGCTGATGATCAGTGGGCCTGGATTGAAAGTACACTCAAGCAATCAACTGCTGACTGGTTGATAGTTAGTGGACACTATCCTGGTAAGAGAAGTGAGGTTAAAGATGTATATTTGTTGAATGGTGCAAAAATAATTAATTTCTTTATTTTTTAGTGTGGTCTGTAGCTGAACATGGTCCTACTGATGAACTGGTCAAAAATTTGAGACCTTTATTGATTAAATATAATGTGACAGCGTAAGTCTCTAATAGCTGCAAAAAATGTGCACATTCACTTTCTCTCTCTCTCTTTTTATAAATTTTTTCTTTAGTTATTTTTGTGGTCATGATCATGACATACAACACATTAAAGAGGATGGATCATCTGTCAATTACTTTGTCTCTGGTGCTGGTCATTTAATTGATTCCTCAACTGAGCATGAAGTATTAATGACTCTCATTTGATCACACATCCATTGCCTTTAATAGGACAAAGTACCAAAAGGCTCGCTTAAATATCGCTATGGTACATCAAGTAGCAGTTCTGATGGTGCATATAACACTGTGACTATTACGGCTCAATCAATGGTGGTCAATTTCTTTAATGTGAAAGGTAGCAGAGAGATTATAATCAATTGTTCTCTAATTAATCATGTGTTCTGTTGCTGAAAAGAGTGGAACTGAAGGCATTCCCTGTTAATGTCAATTGCTACATGTGTTCACAGTGTCACTCTTACAATGGCTGCTATTCATGTGGTAATGAAACCTTTTCCTCTTCTTTTAGGTGAAATGATTTACACATCTACTCTGGACAAGACCAGGTGACCAATTAAACTTGTATTTCAGTTGCTAATTTCTTTGCTGACATTTTGCTTATTTATTGTTGTATCATAGTTCTTGTTGCTATTTGCTTTAGTAATCATTACGTCATAATTGACTTGCTTGCGCCTTTGCAAATATTGAATAGACCAATTACAATGAACAGTAATTACAATAAGTAAAATACTCATTTGAAACTTCTGAGTATTCAAGAATTGCCATATTACATATTAATGTTCTAAATACAATAATAATAATAATAGTAATAATAATAATCAGGCTGATATGGTCAGCTGTATTGTAACACAAGTTATTTCATCACCATTGTCGCTGTAAGCAACAATTGAGCCCTTATACTGTCCCTACAAATGATAAAAAGGTTTTATTTAAGCAGTAATACCATTGCTGCTCTTACTGGTGGTGCTGAAGAGGGTATTTCCTCACTGTAGTTCATTGATATGCTCCCATCCTCCAGTGGGCAGGAGAGCTGGGCAGCCTCAATAAAAGTGCAAAAATCATACTTCTTACGGAGTATGTTCATAGCATTTGCATACCTCAGGACCACAGATACTGTTCCTCCATCATTGATTGGCTCCTCTGTTAAAGTTTAATAGCAACTAATTCTTAAATCTTTTATTTCTTACTTAAATATCCTACAACTGAGATGTAGATTGGTTGTCCTCTTTGCAGTGTCACGGGAGATACATTTATTGAATATATGACCAGTGGGTCCGAAGACTTGCCTGCAAATATTATAATAGCTAAGGTAATGCAATGATTCTATAGCTGAAATTACTGCAGTCAGTCCATATTGAGTTTGTGTTGTTGAGGTAGTTCTTGCCTTTCTCTAAATATACAGGACTAGCAGAGATGAGAGAGGAGGCTGCAGCAACTAATGCTAGTAAGAATATCATCATCTTCGTCTCTAAACCAAAGCAAAAATTCCTTTTGCATCCAATTGTCATGACCTTTTTATGCCTTAGGATTTTGAGTTGAACGTGTAGGCGGCTCAATTGTGTAGGTAGGTGTTAACATAGATAATAGTTGGGCGTGGTTAAAATTAAAATGGCCGGTGCATACGTTGGTAAGAAATCATTATTCTCTAATTTCTCTTTTATTTATTTAATTAATATGTATGGCACTTTTAAACACATAGTCCCAAGGAACTTTCGACTACTTGAAGAGTTAGAAGAGGGTCAGAAAGGAGGAGGAGACGGTACCATTAGCTGGGGACTCGTTCATGATGACGAAATGACTTTAACCCACTGGACCGGAATGATATTAGGACCACCACGAGTAAGAGCCGGTTAACACTCATTTTCACTATTATACAACATCTGTTTGTAACTCAGACAACATTTGAGAATAGGATATACAGTTTAACGCTAGAGGCTGGGCCTAAATATCCTGATGAACCTCCTACTGTCAGATTTGTCACGCGTATACATCTCACCGGCGTGACTCCGACTGGAGAGGTAAGTACCAGATGCGCTACTAGTCTAGTACTTGAGATCTTGTAATGTATAGGTCGACAGAAGAACCTTCTCTATCCTTAGTAAATGGCAGCGAAGTTACACTATTAAAAGTGTACTGAATGATTTGAAAAGGTGACTGGATTTTGTCTTTTTTAAAATTTATTTTTGCCTTTTTAAATTTTCCTTTATTTATTTTTTATATTATCTTTTACTGTAGAGCAATGACGTTGAAGGAGAATGCTCGCCTGCCTCAGCCTCCAGAGGGCACCACCTACAACTAGTAAATGGTGCGTGAGGGAAGTAAAATATTTCTTTATGATATCCTCTCCTTATTTTGTGTAGGTTCCTTCTGTTTGATTTATTTTGAACGGACTTTAAGTACTTTAATTTTTTGTTATTTTTAGCTAATAACAATATTAATGATTATTATTATCATTGTGTAAACGAATCTGTTCCAATTAGTTGAGTTATATAATAATAATAATAATAATAATAACAGGATGCATTTATGATTGCAGTGACATTATTATTAGGTGACTTATATGCCCATTACATACTCTATGGCTTAAAACCTTATTTTCTAGCTTTTGAATTATTCATAGTTATTAAAATTGACAAACAAAACAATGTCTCACATTAAAATAATAAAAATAAATACGTGAAATGCATAAGATATAAGTGCTTGTCATGCAACAAAAAAATAAATAAATAGAATTAAAGTCTGTAGCCCAATAATTGATTGAAATATATAAAATACCTTCAACATACAAACACCAAATGCAATAAAACTGCACTAGTTGTAAACTAAGCATCCATAATGTAAGTACTATTTTTTTTCTTCAAATCATTTCTGATGCTCAAGTAGTGTCTTGTACCATTCTTGTGTTTCAGCAATACTGGATGCTTTGATATACAGGATTGGTTTAGCATGTATTTCGATTATCAATGGATCCTCCATGCTCTGTGCTATTGGAATCCCTTGGAGTATTATAGAGTCGCTTAGCTTGTTCTTCTGTCCTTTACCGTCTGAGAAATGAAGCTGTCCCATCTCCAATTGGAAGTAACGCTTCTGCCATTCTGAGCCCAGAAGCCTCTTCTCTCTTGCTTTCTTCATTAGGAATCCATCTTTCGATGGAGGAGGGACCTTTTTCACTGTTCCACCTCTTCTATTCTTGATTTTGGCAAGTGTACTCTGTGTCATGGATGAATATAAACATAATATGGAATCAGTTGCAATAAAAAGTTATTATTATTATTATTATTATTATTATTATTATTATTATTATTATTATTATTATGTTAGGTAATTGATAAATTCATTAAAAATTAATTTTGATTGCAATTAGCTCAAAATTAATGACATTTGCACATGTATGCATCAGAATAAAAATAATTTTTTATGGAATGGGGCCTCTCCCATTAGACTTTCTTACCAATTCATTAGCACTTTCATTGATCTCAGTCACGGTGGGTGGAGCTGCTCCTCCCTAAAAAAATTTCATGTTTAATAATTTGTACCTCCCTCCCTCTCTCCTCTCTCTTACATCAATAACATCAAAACTCATTGCTTTGTGAACCGATCGTCTTGAACTTGATGAATTTGAGAACTTGCTTGACTTCTCCCCAGAAGATAATGAAATCTCTTGAGTCTTTTCCTATTAAAAATGATCATAGCCACACAATACCAGCTGGCAGTACATACATCTGGTAACACTTGGGGTCCTCTAACTGGTTGCTTTGTCTTATTGGGTGACGTAGGCTCAGTAGAATCCATTGCATTTGATCTAATATAGTTATAAATGATAAGAGACTCACAAAGCTCAACACTTCAACCTGTGTCGTGGAACTTTAGGCGATGGCTTAGGAGGAGGATATAACTCTTTCTTCACATTTCTGAACTGCTTTATAAATATTGCAACATGACTGAACAAATCCTCACTATCCGTCGAAGGAGGCTCGCCAAACTTCTCCTGAAAAGAGACAGTGACATCAAGAGACTGAGGAGGCATTATCTTACTAATATAGCTTTATATGTTTCAGTCATTTCTCTTCCTCTGTCATCAAGGGTTGAGATTTCCTCGCGATAAGTTCTTACAAATTTCATTACTTCGCTTTGTAGACTAGAGCAAGATTCTGCTAGCGACTTGTGCTCCATTATCTTATTGACATCTCTTTCTATCCTTGTCAACTGCCTCTGTTTGACTAGGAGAGAGAAATAGAAAAAAAAAGAAAATTGTTACAAGTTAATTTCTAAAAAGTAGCATCATACCTTCTAATTCTGCTAGGATACTCTTTGTTGAGACTAAAAAAAAAAAGAGAAAAATTTTAATCCTGAAAGCGAAAGTGTGTATCATTAGTACTTTCAGTATCAGCAGCTTTCACAATGCAGTCCATCTCTTCATGAAAGGACAACAGCTCTGTGTCATTCTCGTGCAAAAGTTCAACTAAATAATGCAACAGTGTATGCTTTGAGTCCTGAGCCTTGAACTCTATTAACTAGAGAAAGAAGGACAAGAGAGATGAATTAAAAACTGCACGTTAAATATTATCCACCTTTGTTAGTGATGATAGTTTGAATCCATAAGCTCCACCTTTCTTGGTATTAGCATTAATATAATTACCCATTGCAAGCACATACTCCATCACACTGATGAAACTCTTACTTTCGTTCAATACCTTGCAAGCACTACAAGCAAGAGTGAGTATCTATAACAAAAAAAAAACAAAAAAAATATCGCACTACATGTACTACTATATGCCATCATACTGGTCGAAAGCTATCAAATTCCGCAGGGAATTCTGTAATGGTGAATAGAAGGTCCAGCCTTGTATCTAATAATTCAATATTGCATAGCTGAGAAGAGTAAGGGATGATGCCTGTTCCTCCATAATTTTTTCTTACTTTTATTAAGAATTGGTCAGTAGATTGTAAGCTAGTCTTGTCTCCTTTATAATTTTTATACATTTCCTTATCTTCAACGCTTGGCTGAAATCTAACGTAACAATAAGTAATATCCTTCAATTCTTTGCTCTCTATACCTTTTCAGAGCGACTATGTGTTCAGTTTCTAGTCCTCCTTCAATTTTGTTTAGTTCTCGTTCAATAGTGTCATTATGAATTTGAAAACCAGCAAGAAATATACCTAAAAATCAATAATAATAATAATAATAATAATAATAATAATAATAATAATAATAATAATAAATTCTGTCCATCTTACCAATATTCCTTGCCCTGTTAAGGTCTAGTAAAGTTGTCGGAGCCTCCACTGTAATAATAAAAATAATAATACAATAGTTTCTGTCTCTCCCTCTCTCTTGCCTTGTTTTGCTGCCACTTGTGCTTCATTTCTCTCAGTCTTACAGAACATTGTCTCAAGTTTAGGCAAATCAAGCGAATTGGTTTTGTCTGATTTTATCAAGTCCATCCAACAGGACTTGACAACCTAAAGTGTAAGAAGAAGAAAAAAAAACAAAAAAAAAGAGTGAAAGAAGTAGTAATAGAATGTCTCGTAGTCCTCACATTCATGGGAGGTAATGGAGCCCAATGAAAAGGCTTCATTTTTTGTTTTGGAGTTTTCGTAGGAACTCGAGGAGGAAGAAAAGACATTGCTAAAAGAGAATAATAGTAATAATAAATAAAATTATAAATTGGGACTTACGAAATCCTCCCATGCCAGGCGGGGGTGGTACGCCCCCAGGGAGAGGAGGAGGAGGAGGAGGAACTCCTCCAGGTAGAGGAGGAGGAGGAGGGATAGCCCCAAAAGGAGGAGCTCCCGGCAATGGAGGAGGAGGAGGAACATCACCAAAAGGAAGAGGAGGAGGAGGAGGAACATCACCGAAAGGAAGAGGAGGAGGAGGAGGAGGAATAGGAATATCACCAAGTGGAGGAGGAGGAGAGATGTCTCCTAGAGGAGGAGGAGGAGTGACGTCGCTAGTAGGAGAGGAAGGAGGAAGGGGAGATATATCGTCTTGTTGCAAAGGATCGTCTTCAAGAATTGGTAGGATGGGATCAGACTCAGTCTCGGTGAGAGGAGGAGCGGCAATGATAGCATCACTGGCAGTATTAACACTTGATATACTCAAAACCTAACAAACATAACAAACAATAATAATAATAATAATAATAATAACAATAAGAATAATCATTAATAAATAGTTGTTCAGTATGTACTTCTTCAGTGCTTTGATGCGTGGCGTCAGAATGAGTAGGACTAAAAGCAGTGCTGTGACTTGTATTATCAATCCCGTTCTCAAGTGGGACAGGTGGGTCGGAAGAGACTGTCTGAGAAGAGCGTCTGGAGGAAGTATCCTTTGAAGAGCGTCTAGTGGGTGTGGTCACGTCTTGAGATGAGCGTCGAGAAGGAATGGAAACCGATGCGGTTCTAGTCGGTGGGAATTTATGAGGATCACTAGAAATGGTGGCTTCAATAGCAGCTATTATACTGCCTACCCTACTGATCTGAGAATATAAAGAGACTAATAATAGATTTTAAAGCTTATCATACTCACCGTCATATTCACTTCTGCTTTACCAGTAGTCATGGGGAGTACCATAGCATTCAACTCATTGATGTGATGATGGAGCAATGACATCATCTCCCCCAAATTTAACCCGTTTAAATTCAGCGGCTCCACCTCTCCTGGCGACGGATGCACAAACATTGCAGCAATGTCAAGGCCTTTCTCGCTACCAGTAAAAAAGGTCGAGTTCCTTACCCTCGGACTTTGAGTGCTTTGATTCTTCGGGCTACTAGATAGCGGTGAATTGACGTCAAAAGAGACAGAAGACCGCGAGGCTCGGCCACCAAGAACTATTGTTGCTGCTCTCTTGATCCTTCCCTTTGGTTTATCAGGAGAGGGAGCGTTCCCAGGAGAGGGAGCATTCCCAGTGGAGGGGTCTGGATCCCTGGTTGGGGTGTGCTGACGAGTGAAACGATTTCGAAATGTTGAGAGACCAGTTTTAGTACTGGTCCTTTTTATGTCTTTCACTAAGGGAGAAAAGAGTGAGTAATTGTAGATTTGAATATTTCCACTTGCAAACATGTAAACACTGTTCAATACAATGACAACAACTCATTTGAACAGTTCCAACACACACATACTTTACAACAATAGAAACAACAGTTATTGCACAAACAACTGTGCTTCATATTGCACACATGGAGCTATGTACTACATGTATAGTATACTCTAGAGTATACTATAATCCACTAACTTGTTTTTGTTCTCTTCCATGAGCTTGTATACATACAACTCATGATTGCCTATAGTATACAGTAGAAAAACAAGCTCATTATACCACTCAATCTCTCTCTCTTCCTCTCCCTCTCTCTCTTACATCAAACCAGATGTCTCTTTCTTTTTCTGATGCTTGTGGAATAGGAACACGAAAACTAAAAATAAAATAACACCACATTCAATCAACAAGAGGCATACAGGCAGGCACTTGTACCTGTAGGATTTGTTCCCAGTTTCTATCAATACGTCAATCCCAATGTTACCAACTTTTTTAACACTAGTAACAGTTGAATTAAGTGGAAGGATGTTAAGAGCATTCTAAGAAGAAGGCAAAGGACATAAGAGTTTTATAATTTAGACTCGACTCACTTCTCTGTCTTCAGGCCTAAAATATGACATCTCTCCTTCAGTTAGTCGTACAAATCGTCTAAAAATTAATTAAAATAAACTTGATCTCCCCCTCTCTTTCTCTTTTATTACTTAGGCCACATGAAGAAAGCAGTAGAGTGTCCCTTTTTTTCTAAAATGCCTTCCTTGACAACAACATTAGAGACAGAGCTACTACTAGTCATCCCTTTACTAGTGACAGCTTCCTCTTCAAGAGAAAGTTGAGTAGAGTCTAAAGATACATATAATAAAAAAGGAGTTTACCAAACATTACCCATATCAAAAGAAACGCCGCGAGTTTCTTGATAAACAGCTACAGGATGGACCTGCTGTTCAGTTTGTTGTTTCTTTCTTTGAATTTCGGCCAAGAGTCTTATCATCTTTACAAAAAAGGTATACATTATGTAAAATGGAAGACTAGTTTGAAGACACTTTTATGGGCTATTCTCCAACGTATTTGTCAAAACTTAGTATATTCTTAGGTGGTGATTATACATCAGATTATTTACTTTATTTTTTTCATCTTGAGTATCAGCATCAAGCTCATATTCAGACTTTGATCCAAAGCTAATGGTCATTCTAAGTCCATCCTGTGAGAGAAGGGCAAGAGGCACACAAGCATTATATCACTAGTCACAGATGAGCTTACCTCACTCTGGTAGCTTGTTATATCATCAAAATCAATTTTATTAGTCCTAGTTCCGTGTTGTATGCACGAGATTGTTTTTGTATCGAAATCAAACTAAAAGAGAAAAGAAATAACACTACACAACTCCTCTTTATCCCCCTCTAACTTGTAAAATAAGTCTTTCGACATTTCTTCCTTTAGTCCAGCGAATGACATGAAAGTTAAAGAGTTGATCTCCTTTTGATATGCTGTTAGTCCTGTACATGTCGTAATTGGGGACTTTAGATTGCTGATTGAGCATCTGTTGATAAGCTACTGCAGCCTCTGGAGTAAGTTTCCCATTCTACAAGTCACACATTAGCAGAGAACAACAAAATAAAACTCCCTAGACTAGTTCAAGTTATGTAAGACTAATCAAGCAATGCCGTATATGAATTCTATAGGAAATAATTCCTGGCAGGCTTTATTTTGTCTGGCAATCACTATCATATAATGACGGCACAATAATTCAATTTACCAAATGCACGATTTAACCTCAAGAGATTCATTCATTCATTCATTGCTACTGAACATAACCTGGAGTTAGTATGTACTTATATTAATATTAAGTTAATATTATGAGTGGAGCACCGGAGTAAATTGCTTGGACTTAATTGTACATGAAATTAATTAAACATAATGGAATGAATAGTTTAGTAGTTCCAAGAACACTCAATCATAAATCCATTAGCTCAACCAGTCCCTTTACTGAACTCAACTAACAATAATTGAATTGTTAGCTAATATCTCTTCCTTGATGATGACATTAGAAGCCATGTGCATCTAAGAGGGTTTATTCATATTTACACTAACCTCGATGAGCTCTTTTAGCTCGTCGGCCATTGATGAACCTACAGTCTGAGAGAGAGAGAGGGGAGGGAGGGAGAAGGTTGAAAGCAATAAATTGAAATCAAACTACGTCTGCAAGAAAAAACAAACTTTACAGTTGTCCTAACTTAATAATAATAAAAAACCATAGACATACAAAAACAAGATAGCACAACACTTTATCCCTCCCCCTCATACACACACACACACATGCACACTGTAGAACTCAATATAATGCATATACAAATGTACATGTATTGATATTAATACAAAGTTACCAACACATTTATGAGTAATCAAACACTGATTGATTGACTGAGACAGTGGTACATATACACTTGAAAGTTACTTCTTGTCTTAAATACACAGATAACCATCAATTATGTACATATATTACCGCAAATAGTCCTCTCCCACACAAAGATGAGTGAACATTGTCTCACCATTTGGGTGGCCATGCTTCTTGTCTCATTTATAACTAGCCCACTCTGCCAAGGAGAGGCCGCCTTTCCCTTCAAGGGCCCAAATATCAAAGGAATCTGCACAGAAAGTAGGAAAGAAGAAGAGTTGTGACAGTCGATCCGTGTTGTAGTGAAGAATGGAGCACCCAACTGCTGGGATAGCTAATTAAATAAGCAATAATAATTTTTAGCCACACCCATTTGCTTTAATATATAATACCACACCCATTACAAAAATGGCTAACGGTTGCAACAAAGTTTAATTTATGTTCTATCTAACATTTAACAAGGTTGTTTGACCCTCTTGGCATTTGCCACTATATGGAGCAATAGCAAGAGATAGTAAAAAGTAGAGATTAATTTTCTGCTCATTTTATAAGAAAATGAAAGTGAAAGCTGTCTCATCAAGTGTTTAGCATAATAACTGACGATGACAATACAATAACTACCTGTATTTTGTGTATTAATCATATTTTGGACTTAAAATAGTCATTTATTTTACTAAGTAGGAAAGAGTTTAGAACCTAGCAAACAAGAATGGCTACAAATTTGCTTATTTTGCTATAAGTTAGTAAATAAAAATTATACCAAAATTTTTAGTCAAAACAGAGATAGATTAACTAGACTTAGTCAAAATTGTTTTCTTTATAATTTCCTTCATTATTTTTGGGCGGGGCTAGTTATTCTTCTGAGTTTTGACATAAATATTAGAGACTACGTAACCAGGATAGGAAACTAGGATTCCCCCGGCGGACAACTAGGATTCCCCCGGCGGACAACGTCCGTAATCAGGGGCGTTAAATAGAACTGGCTATCATTCTACTGCATGCACGTGATAAGGCATGGAGTGGTATTGTGTTTCACACTTTTACTTCTGATTTCTGAAGTTCTCACTGTTCTCTTGACGTCTGAGGGCCTCTTTGGCAGTTAAAGATAAGACAGCAGTGGCCATCCGACTTGAGTTTAGCTTAATGCAGCATATATATGTGAGCTCAATATGATGGAGTTGTGTGGAGAAGTACCATGATGTTCCAGCCAACCATTGGGGAGACTGACTCTGGCTAACCGAGTTTGCAGTTGGTTGATGGAGTTAAATGATGCCATGGTAAAAGAAGAGATGGGGAAAGAAAGATTGAATTGCAACTCCTTAGAGCCATTGTGACGTTTTTTAGCAGTGAAAGTATTTTTTCTTGGCATAGTAATTATCTATATTAATTTTTAAAATTGAATTATATAATATTACTAAGTTGCATCTATAATATCTATGATATCTATAATATCTATGGTTGCATGCATGGGCTGCCGGATTATTGCAAGCCTGCATTCATGCAGTGTACATGCATTAAATGTTTTATAATAACAATCAGTGATTTACTTGAGAAATATGCGGTAATGTAGAGATAAATTTAGAGCCTTGTTCGGTGATAACGATCTAAGATAATGGAGCTTGCAATTGTCGAGCTTCAGTGATAAATTCAAGTTGCAGCTGCAGCTTTAGTCCAGTGCGTCTCGTAAGTGCTACCTAGGTAGCGCATCACGTGACTAAAAGTTCTCTACAAGATTAGGCTTGTACATTTATGTCTTAAGTAGTAATTCAGCCAAATGGAGTGCATACATTAAAATGCTAACCCCCCAATTCCATGCACACAACATCAAACTATCTTCACCCAAAAGGAGAAACCTCTGCTTGCTGTGTAAAAGCTGTAACAGATACAACAGTGGACTGTTCGCAAAAGCAGTATTTTAGATATTACTCCTCTAACATAGCAAATCAGTCAATAAAACTATGACAGTTCCATGCACAATGATTGTGGCAACATTTTCAATGATCTTTTTAGTCCATTTTTGCCCGTGTGCTGGAGCAACAGGTACATCAAGTTTTGCAAATTTGCAACTAACACAAATTTGAACAACATCACTGTATATTGTCAAAATAACAATGGTATCAGTATTTTTTATTACAGTCATGTCACACAAATATCGAAGTATTGAAATATCATTAAAATAACAAGAAATCAACATTGGCTTGAATACAATCTTCCTTTGAATGTCGTCGATGAGTAGCCATTTTTTGACCACGCCCACCAAAATCCAATGACGGTCGTTGGCCGGGCGGTTGATACTGGTTTGAATGGATCACGTGAGCTTGTTTCCTATCCCGGTTACGTAGTCTATAATATATCTATGCTTTTGACCACTCCTATCCACTACCTAGTAACCTGCTGGAGAAAAATGAATTTTGAAGAGGGACTGAAAGAAGCCGGGTACTTTGGGAGATATCAAAAGAAGTTACTCTTGATTCTCTTCCTCTTTCAGTTCATATGCCCAGCAATAATCCTCTCCATTACTTACATAGGGATGAGCCCCGAATGGGTGTGCACCTCCGAAAGAAACAACAATACTTCGTTGCATTTTAGTCCAGACAAAAGATGTCATTATTTTGAGGGCGAGCCTCATAACTGTACTCCTTCGTATGAAGAAGGCTTTTACACGATTGCTGAGGAGGTTTGTCAATAACATGCAATTCTATAATGATTAAAAAATAATCTCCCCTCCTCCTTTTTCTCTCTTTCACTATATAATGGACACATCAATTTGTAGTGGAACCTCATTTGTAGTCGCTCCCATTTAATAAACCTAACTCAGAGTGGGTTCTTTTTCGGTTTCCTAGTCGGCGCATTTGTTCTAGGAAAGCTTGCGGACTCTATTGGGAGACGTAAAGTGACTATCATGATCTTGGTCTGTGGGGCCATTGTGATGATGCTTAATGCACTGAGCCCTAGCCTTACGCTGTTTGCTATCTGTCGGTTTGTGGCTGGTTTTCTGTTCGCTGGAGTCATGGCATTTTATGTACTAGCAAGTGAAATTGTTGGTAAGAAAGGAGAGGAAGAAAACGTCCACTTGAATATATTCTGTACCGAATAAATTTTTATATAATGTTCATTCATTATTTCTCGTAGGTCCTGGTCAGAGAGGACTAGTATCAGTTGGGACCTCATTGATGTTTGCTCTGGGTTTTGTTTTCCTCTCTTTTATAGCTTATGTGATACAGGATTGGAGGAGGTTGATGATATTTGTCAGTTTGCTGTACATTCCTTTCCTCACCATGTACAGGTATCATTTCAAGCCTATATATATATATATATATACATATACTTTGGCATCCTTATGTGTATCTATCAGGGTTTCCCACAGGATTTTGGCATAGTCCTCATGTAGCTTCTTGTTGATTGCTTAAAAATTGCGCAAAAGACCCTGTACTATAGTACGGGAGTACATAGTATTTTGACAAAAATGACTAGGAGAGAATTCATCATTTTCATAATTTTATCTGATACATATACATGTATTTATAGTGTATAGCAAGTTTGAGCTGATTCCGATTAAATTTGGATTTTTTAATGAATTTTTAAAGCTGCTAAAAAATCAGGCCAAAGTCCCTGTACTATAGTACACGGTCTCAGGCCAAATTTTGGCAAAAACAACTAGGAGAGAATTCACTATTTTTATAATTTTTTCTGATGCATATACATGTACTTATGTTACGTAGAAAGTTTGAGTTGATTCCTATCAAAATTGAATTTTTTATGAATTTTTTTAAAATTGTTCCAAAATTGGACCAACAAGGACTTTGACTGAATTTCTCCAAAAATGACTAGGGGAGAATTTTAAAAATTTTCTAATACATATACATGCACTTAAATTATGTTGCATGAAAATTTTGAGCTTATTCTAATCAAAATTGGATTTTTAATGAGTTTTTAAAAAGCTCCAAATGCCATGTACTGTGTTTTGTAGTGCTTGTCAGCTCATGAAGGGCATGCTGTATAGCTTACTTAGCATGCTTTGTGGGAAACTCTGGTACCCATTACACACAATACTAATGTATGGTAATTCTAATATTATCCAGGAGTATACCAGAGTCTCCTCGCTGGCTCCTTACTATTCAAGAAGAGGTCAAAGCAAGGAGAATACTCATAGATATAGCTCGTACAAACAAGAAAACTCTACCATCGGATTTCTCACTCAAATGTGCTTCTTCGTCAGGAGACCAACCATCGGCTGGTCTGATTGCCCTTTTTCGTCATAGGGTTTTGTTCAGGCGTACTTTAATAATGGCTTTCATTTGGTTCACTGTGTGCATGGTCTACTATGGTCTCTCTTTGGGGGTTGGTAGCCTCAGTAGTAATCTTTACATTAGCTTCTCTTTGTCTGGACTAGTGGAGGTTCCATCAAATCTTGTAGCATATGTAATATTGGACAAGTGAGTTTCCTTTAAAATCATTGCTACATACGTGTACTACATGTACTTTTTTCTTCAGGCTAGGTAGGAAATGGAGCAATATTATTACCCTTGCCTTGGGTGGTACTGCGGCTCTTGGCTGTTCCTTTGTTCAAATCACTGGAAGTAAATGACCTTTCTTTATAATCACCAGGATGCCCATTTTTGTCTTGTGTATTAGTTAATTCTGGTGGTAGTTTACAAATGGCACTGGCATTGTTGGGAAAGTTCAGTATATCTGCTTCATTCTGTGTACTATTTGCATATACTCCAGAGCTTTATTCCACTGATGTCAGGTAATATTAAATTAATTTTGTGTCTGTTATTTTTTCTTCTTTTTTTTGTGCACATAGAAACCTGGGTATAGCCTTGTGTAATGTACTAGCAAGGTTTGGCGGGATCATAGCTCCTGTTGTGATATTATTGGTAAGAATTATAAATATTCCAACCCTCTTTTAGTGCATGTGATGTATAGGATGAGAGTGGTGCTGGTTTGTCAATGCTAGTAATGGGAATGTTGTCGGTAACAGCTGCACTTCTTGGATTAGGTGTGCCCGAGACTTTCAATGCTCCTCTGCCTAACACAATACATGATATCAAATGACATTCTCTTCATAATTATTTATTTATTATTCATTCCTCTGTAATTTTCCTGGGAACTTGAATTTTTCTTCATTCTCAAATCTTGTTATTTTTTCATCTTTTTGCATCAAGGGTTTTATATGAATAATAATAAGATTTTGATGTTAATTTATAAAAATTGAAAAAATATATAATCTGTTATATACATGCAGTACGTATTCCTCCTATCTTTCATCATCTTTCTCTTCATCAATCGAATCCCAGGTATTGCTGTAGTTCTCTTCCAGCTCTTGCTGCTTCATTTGCCTTTCACTAACATCGTTGCTATCATCCTTACCCTTCAAAGAAGTAATTATAATTGCTTGATGCATAACATTTTAATTGCTACTTTTACAATGCTTCCTTCAAAAGCTTACAATGTATTGTTCTATTGCCTGTGCCAGTAATGATGATGCTCCCTTTTTGCTCGACAGGTCAACCTCAATTATCTTTTTTGATCTATCTCCATCATTCAACCTTGGATCACTTTTGGCAACATCTTCCACAATCTTGTCAAGGTCTTCCTCTTGCAATGCACTTTGATCAGTTAATTTAATGTGATATACTTTGACTATGTAAATACAGTAAAACTTAATTTGCAATTCTCCACTTACATTTCTCCTTTTTACTTTTCTTTCCATCTTCTCCTTGATTGGTTGCTTGCTCTATATTTGGCTTTGACTTGTGCTTTCTATTCTCAGGAGACTCATCATCATCTTCTTGTGCTCTTTTTAAACTCCTCTCTTCTTTCTCTCCTTTTCCACCAACAGTCAATTCTCTTTGCTTATTACTAGTTCTGCTAGCACTACTTTTGCTTTCAGCATCACTTCCTTTCCAGCTATTATCACTAGAACTGTCCTTCTCAGCATCACTGTCTCCCCTGCCAAAAACACTACTCAGAGTCTCACTCACTAAGTTATCAATAATTTCTTCAGTTTCTTTATTGAGTCCTTCTTCATCCTCGCTATCTATTGTATTTCTCCCATTACTTGTAACTTTATCAGCAATGGAATTTGCTAATAATTGGAATATGTCCATCAGTGGCACTTCTTTCTCTTTTGTCTTTCGTTCTTTGACCAAATTCTTTTTGAGGGCATCTTGGACGCCAGACATTGCACTCTTTGCTTCTACTAAGAAAAATAACAGTTTTAAGTAACACAAAAGAATCAGTTTTACTTCTTGAAGTGTGTCTCCTGTACTGCTCATCTGAAAGTATCGGAGAACATCTGATGACATCAGTTGACTCAATATCGTCTATTCTGAAGAGAGGATGGTCGCAAAGCTGTGGAGCATGAATGACAAATGTATAATTGCAAGTTTCATGTTCAATGATATTGACAATCGAAGTATCAGCGTGATAGGGCGAACAAGTGATCTAGAAAAAAGCAAAAAATTGTAATTGAAACATCTCAAACTTTTGCACAGCATAAAAACACAGTTATAATCCCCAAAAAAGGAATAGATTTATTGTTGACATACTTTAGCAATGGTGGTTCTCCTAACGTCACGGACATCACAAGCAGTTCCATTGACATAGCGTGCATTATGAGAGGAAAGCTTAGCGACATTGTGCTCTTTTATCAACTTATTCTTCCTCTGCCTCTCCTAGACAAAGATACCATCACAAATACAACAGACTGTCACTCATACTATGCATAATGTAGTAAACAATAACAGAATCCTAATTATTAATATAAATAAAGTTAATTTTGGCACTCAATGTGATCTATTAGTCCAAACTCACCATTGATTTCTGCAGCTTCTCTTCATTCCATTCCGTTTCACTTTCAAACACTCCAAGAGATATTAAATCTCCCACCATTTGGCCGCCTAAGAGAAAAGTAAGTAAATAGATACATGCTTACCCTAATCATGAAGGCTCCATACCTTCTATGTGGAATTGTGTTATGTTGCTCCCATGACAATACTTGTACGACCACCATCCTTGGTTCTAATATAGAAATCAATGCGTTAGATTATAATAATACACAGTACATACTGATAAAATGCAGTTTCTTCTAAGTTGAGACAATAGCATAGAAATATCAATGAAGTTCTCATCATTTAAGATTTCCATGTCTCTATCATTCGAAATGCCCGATGGCAAGAAACAGGCAAATTCTTGGCCAGTTTTAGACCAAACACGAACCATAGGCTACAGAGGAAAGATTAACAAGTTGGAATTGATGGGGTTTTCTTATCTACTTCAGTTTGGGTGTCTTCTCTTTTGGTCAAAAGTTCCTCAGTAACGGGTGAGGAGTCTATTGATAGCTCATAGCTGTTACTGTGCATCTCAAAAAGATCAAAAGATCCAAAACCTGTGTCTCGTATTCCTATTACATTCTCTAGTGTCTTCATAAAGACTGCAACAGAAAAGAGAAAAAGTACCTGCAAATCCATGACATAGACACGTCAGTTGAGTTACCGCCCAACCGCGCCCTCATGAAATGAAACTATAATAATTATTCTTGGGCCATCTTGGCATTAGAAAAATTTAATGTAAAATTTAGAAAAATAGCAAAAATAACATTACAAAGACAATGTTCGCTTCAGAGGAGAGAGCAAAGTAGCTGCAGATAGCAGCCATCACTACAAATAATAACATAATAGTAGCAAGTTCACTATCATGATAACAAAATTACAATCACTCATAATCCTATATAATGTACCAAAGCTTCAAGCTTAGACCTACGAGCAGGTCAAGTAACCCAACTATGCACAGTACAAATTAATGCACTATACACTGCAATGATGCACCACAAGATCTACACATCCACTGTTGATCAAAGAGTAACTGAATTTTATTTCATTATAATACAACATGTAAGTGATAAATGATCATGATTAAGTGATAAATGATCATGATTGAGTGATAAATGATCATGATTGAGTGATAAATGATCATGATTAAGTGAAAAAATGTCATGTATAATGTAGTTCAGTGCAATCAAGGCAACTGCTAAGACTCTCTCCTCCTAATGCTATGGATGACGCATGGTTGCTGTATCCACTTTGACCTTTATGAATATCGTATCGTCAACAATGAATCCACCTTGCATTAGCTCATTCATGGACACAAAACGAGGACATCCACTAGCAACATTCATGTCTGATTTTGGTTTCTGGAAGGAAGAGCTGAGTGGATCAGGCTGGAATATATCCATAATATCACGAGCACCACACTGGTTGATTAGCTTGAAGGTAACCTTGTGTGTGAATGGCCATTGGAGTATGTTATCAAACTCTCCTTTCATGACAACAAAGAACAGAGACATATGAGTGCCCTTTCCAATACCATCCCCCAGGATGTAGAGGCGGAGACACATCTTGTAACCATAGCGACTGGAGTAGAATGGAAGAGAAAATATTGAAGTGTATTTTCCAGTCCTGGCATCATCCATACGCTGAGAGAACTGAGGTATCTTCCAGACCATAGAACCATCAAAATTACTGTTCTCCATCAAAGAAAGTCGGAAGTCTCTATCTTCATTCTCAGACATCTTAGCAGATAGAGTTGTCTCCAGTTGGGCTACTTTATCCTGTAGAGTGTGTATTTGGCTGTCCTTCTTTGTTAGTTCTGCTTGTATTCCTGTTATCTTTGTCATTACTAAACTCATCAGTTTGTCGTCAACTCTTCCTCCTCCTATCTCTCCATATCCTCCTCTTACTATTGCTTCAGCTACTACACCATCTTCCAAAAAACCCAAGTCGTTTCCTCTAGGACCTGGCCCATCACTGCAGACACATCTCTTTGGTATTGTTGGCAAAGTAGAACGAAACTTAGAATCAGAGCCACTACCATCACTTTGAACAAGATTACTGGTTAGTAGAGAAGAGATTGTAATAGCTATCATTAAAAGATGATCAAAAAAACCATTTTTTGATGACAAATGCTCAATGCATTCCTCTCTAGTCATCTACAAAAATAACATAATCTTTTTTTTCATTTTAAGTATCATTTTCTACTCACTTCCTTGGTTTCCTTGCACCCATGGTCTTTCAAAGGACATGTGACAGTCATCTTAGGGCATTGATCAACATGTGACTGGTACTATAATAATAACAATGAGAGAAAGCCATTATGAGACATGACAATAAACAAATAAGGCAATAAATAATGTTTTTTATTCACGTTGACATTGAATTAATTTTAATTAACTAATGCTAGTTAGTAAACTACAATTATATAGTAACTACCTGAGTATAAAAGGAGCTTACCTCACTCGGATTGAATGGTTTACTGCAGTGTGGGCATTCTTGCTTCTCGTAGACACAGCTTTCAAGGTGAACAAATACTTCGCTAATTACATCATTCCAGTCGCATCCAAATTTACGATTTGGGCACAAAATTGAGAAGCGATTGATCTCTTTACGAACGAACCGGTCAGGAAAGAACTAAAGAGGAGGAAATAAAATTGCTGTCAAATCTATATTTAAAGGCATACCAGTCTTCCATCTTCATTGGTCAGTTCTTCGTCACAATCAGGCCTTGGGCAAAAAATTGTCCCTTCATTCCTTAAAAAATAATTTGAAATCAATTATTATATAAATTTCAAATTTACTTCTTGTCAAAAAACTCTTCAGCACATCCATTACAAAGCCAATGGCCACAGCTTGTCTGAACAGCATCATGAAGAATACAGTCACATTTTGGACAGACATATTTTTCAAGCTGCTCTTTATTATTCTCAGTCAAAAAACTTGTCTTTAAACGACGAGACTCACGAGAGAACCGCGAAACAGTTGAATACATTTGCCCAGTTTCAATGAAAAGGGAAAGACGGACTAAGACCTTGATGTGGTTTTTATACAAGGGACTCAGGGTCTGACTCCTGACCTGATAGGATTTGACTGACACAATAAGCTAGACAAATTTGAGTACTGCTGAGATGACAGAAAGAGTGAAAGACGCGGATTCTGTGACTGCTGCTAGCATGACGTTTGCACGTTTCTTGTGTTAGAAATGCCGGGAATCCCTAGGTACTTCCCCCACTTCAAGGGCCGGCGCCTGATGTCCCATGAGCTCCCTAAACACGTGAGTACACGTTGCATTTGGTATAAACTATAATGTACCTAAAGAGGAAATAAGGTGCGGTTTGCACCTTCTATCATAATCCCTATGGCTCGAGCTATGGCTGCACTCTTATACGCTCTTCTCTTATTACTTCTACCTTTGTGCCCTTTGACTGAAAGTCAAAATTCTTACTTCAACTGTGGCTCAGATACAAAATATCCTCTTCATTTAGTTGGCTTCTTTCCCTGTCTTGACAATGAAGATGCAACTCATAGCAGTGGCTGTAGGCTGCCTCTAGCTGCAGTGGAACATGCAATAACTCTTGTCAATCGAGATGATGATCTACTGAGATGTTTCAGAATAGAGCTATTCCCAATTACAGTACAGGATCCACAGCAGGTCAGTCTATCCTCTATGGTCTATCATTTATTCATGAGGTGTGTCATTCTGTGAAAATTGTCAGTTTACATTAAAGCTGTCAAAAATCCACTGTCTTGATATAATTAGTATGTTTACTATCTCATTATACTAGCACCCAACAGAACTAATCGAGTTCCTATACAACCAATACAATGATCAACCTATCCATGGTGCTATTGGCCCTTACCATGCTGATTCTGCTAAAATGTTTGCGTACGTCTTTGGACTGTACTTAAGTACATTGCAAGTAAGATATTATCTCTCCTCTTTTATAACGATATCCTATGCAACTGTATAGATATCTTATTCAGTGACTAATACATTACTAGAAGACACAATGAGATATCCTTACTTTCATGCTACAGTCCCGACTGATGCCTTTATGAGCAAAGTCTTAACTGCATTACTGGAGCACTTTGGATGGCAGGAAGTGGCCATCTTGTCCACGCATGATGAGCAGAGTGTTTTGGTAATTTATAGGGACAGTTTCACTTAACTTTTAATTTGTTTGTCATTTCAGGCTTCACAGACAGTGGCTAGGGAATTGGCACTTATCAATGGAGATTTGTCTCACTTTCTTGGTGCCTATATAGGCTCAGCTACAGAAATAATCAAAACGGCAAAGGTGATTCTATTAAATTCTCTATATACAAAGTGATTTTAGCTTACACTGAGACTTTTTCATAGGCTATTGATATCAGAATATTTGTTGCCATAATAAAATCAGAAAGTGCCAGGAGTTTTATGTGCCAGGTTAATAGTTAATAATGTATTCTGCAATTAAAATAGCTTCTAACCTTTTTCTTTATGCTACATTATAGGCTTATCGTGCTAATTTAACTACTCCTCAGCATGTTTGGATATTGCCTGGTATATATAATCCACTCTGGTGGGAACTAGAGAATCTCAATGAAACTGTCTACAACTGCACCAACAATCAGATAAAAGAAGCTATTTCATCAATGTTATTCTATGACTCAACGCCAACAATCATCCCTAAAAATGAAGTGGGAAACATACATTTCATACAATAATTATTATTAGTTATTTTCTAAATAACAGGAAGATGATATCATTATCTCTACCATCCTCAACAGAACCACTATTCTTAATGGAACATTGAACTATATTGACTTCCACTATCTCTTGCACTCAAAATTGTTGAATGCTTATGATGCAACAAGAGCAATGGCACTTGCATGGAATGCAACTCTTCAAGACTTTACTGACAATGAGCTAAGCATTCTTTTTAATCAGTCATGGAAGAATTCAAGTCAAAGCAAGCAAGAGTTAGTAGAGGCTTTGCAGTATAATTTGAAGAATGTTGTCAGCCCATATACTGGATTAGCTGTGAGAGATAATAACTAATGATGCTTGATGTTAAATTATATTAACTATAGGACACTTATAATTTCAATAATAGCAGAAATCAGTTTGGAGGAGCCATTATCACTCAGTTTGTTGGTATGTACATATTCTACATAGTTATCACAAAAATTAAACTTGTCTATAGGCAATGGAGAATGCATATTGGGATATTATTCATCAATTAACAGTAGTCACGTAACAAGATTGGAAGGCTGTCAGCATGATTATTGCTGTAATGCCACTTGGAAAGGTACATCTTGTCAGCATCTTGTCAATGAATTTTTTATGAATTTTAAGAAGTTTCTTATAAATCAAGCGAAAGTCCCTGTACTATAGTACATGGTCTTGAGCAAATTATTTTCAGCAGAAATGACTAGGAAAGAAGTTTTCATTTTTATATTTTTTTTGCTACATGTATTCATGTTGCGTAGAGTGTTTGAGCTGGCTTCAATTAATATTGGATTCTTTACAAATTTTTGAAGTTGTTCAAAAATTGGGCTAAAGTCCCTGTAGAGCCAGTATTTTGCCAAAAATGAATGACTACTGACTAGGAAAGAATTCTTTATTTCATAATGTTTTGATATATACATACATAATCTTATGTTGCTTATGAATTTGAGCTGATTTCAATCAAAACTGAATTTTATAACGAATTTTTAAACTTGCCCTAAAGCCATGTACTATTGTGGCACTTGTCATTCATTCTTTCACGTATACTGTGGCTATGAACCAACAGATGGGCATTGCCCAAATAGGTCATGCACTTGCATAGAACATGCAAATACTAGTCCACTATTATTACTATTTTCTGGAAAATTTCCAAATTTATACGGAAAGAATACAAAGATTTGTACTCCGTTCTGTTAGAATTCTATTATTAGAAGCTACTATAAACTCTATTTATAGTAGCTTCTAACAATAGACTGACCATAAATAACTGGCGATTGTCCTTGGCTGCATTTCATTTCTAACTTTGTTGCTGAGTTGCTGATCTATCACACAGTCCTTTATCATGCCTGCTAAAGCAGAAGACTATTTGAAGAATAAGAAATGGGTCGAACGTATCAATGGAATGTTCGTACTTATGGACAAAAACAAGAATGGCTTCCTTTCCGAGGAGGATTGGTTCGTGACAGCTGACAAGCTAGCCAAGACAGTCCCAGACCGTCCAGAAGAGCTGGCAAGGGTGAACAAAACCAAACTGGAATTCTTTGCAGCCCTGGGGGTCAAAAATGGTCAGCAAGTTGCCAAGGATCAGTTTGTGGAAGTAATTGCAGCCTTTGTAGCCAAGCAGATGGAAGCCCGCTCCCAGGGAAAAGAGACACTCATTGAAAAATATGACAATGCTGTGTTTGACTTGGTCGATTACAACCATGACGGTACCCTCAGTTGGGAGGAATATAAAGCTGTGATGGTCGCTGGAGGATTTGTCACTGAAGAATCGGCTCGTAGTGGCTTTGAAACTCTTGATAAGAATAAAAATGGAAAAATTGAGCGCAAGGAGTACATTGAGGCTGACGTCAAGTTTTGGTGCAATCTGGAAGATTCGGCTGATGGGCTGTTTGGAGCAGAACTTTAATTGAACTAAATCATGATTGCATTCTTTTGCTATTTCCCTAATAATGAAATATTGGTAGTTGTTTTTGCTTTAGTGACCACTATATGTTGCCAAGTAATTAGGGTATGAATAAAGCTAGTGATGACATGCCAAAGCTAAACAATGGATAGTATTATTATTGATTTACAGTCGTTACAAAACATGGATCTGGCTCATATCCAGCAGTGTATCTGTATGATACAACATAATAGAGATTAAGACCATCATGATTTATTGCTTTAATAGTGCATGCAACTACCATCCAGCTAAAATTAACACTTATACTGTTGTGTTGATAGATTTTGTTTACTTAAAGCCCATTTAGCAACTTAGGTGGTTACTTTAATCTTGTATCTATAAGAATCTGTTGATGACAAGATCAAAGTAGCCACAAAATTTGCTAGCAACATGAAGTTGTTCAAAAATTGGGCTAAAGTCCCTCCTGTACACATAGGCGGCTGCAGGCCTAGGCATTGGGGGTCATTGCCTAGGTTAAAAATTAGACCGGAAGTAGAAACAATGCTATTTAACCCTTTTACCACACCCCTTTAATTAGAAATGCCTAGGCTGAGTCGGACTTCTGCAGCCGCCAAAGCCTGTACAGGCGGTATTTCACCAAAAATGATTCAAAAAGAATTCTTCATTTTATAATTTTTTCTGATGCATACATTATACCAAGAGTAGATGATAATTATCTACTCCTATCTATCTACTATATACATGTTCTTATTGCTTGTAAAATTTGAGCTGATTCCAATCAAAACAAGCTTTGGTGCTTGTCATTCTTTCACGTATACATGTGGCTACGAACCGACAGACGGGCATTGCCGAAATTGGTCATGCACTTAGCATTTGCAGAGATAATAAATACTAGCATAGATATTGATAGTCCACAGACTTTGCTACTTCTTTTGTGGAATTATTGGAATATTTCCAAACGGAAAGAATACAAAGATTCGTGTTCCGTTCTGCATCTCATTATAAAAAGATTATACCTTAATTAGAAAACTCTATTTATAGTAAGTTCTAAAAATAGACTGACCAAACGGGAGATTCTTTGAGCTGCATTCTTTTCTTCTCGCCTTTCTTTCTTTCATTTCTTTGTTGCTGACTTGCTTGTCTATTACACACTCCTTTATCATGTCCGCTAAAGCAGAAGACTACTTGAAGAATAAGAAATGGGTCGAACGTATCAATGGAATGTTCGTACTTATGGACAAAAACAAGAATGGCTTCCTTTCTGAGGAGGATTGGTTCGTGACAGCCGACAAGCTAGCCAAGACAGTCCCAGACCGTCCGGAAGAGCTGGCAAGGGTGAACAAAGTCAAACTGGAATTCTTTGCAGCCCTGGGGGTCAAAAATGGTCAGCAAGTTTCCAAGGATCAGTTTGTTGAAGTAATTGCAGCCTTTGTAGCCAACCAGATGGAAGCCCGCTCCCAGGGAAAAGAGACACTTATTGAAAAATATGACAATGCTGTGTTTGACTTGGTCGATTGCAACCATGACGGTACCCTCAGTTGGGAGGAATATAAAGCTGTGATGGTCGCTGGAGGATTTGTCACTGAAGAATCGGCTCGTAGTGGCTTTGAAACTCTTGATAAGAATAAAAATGGAAAAATTGAGCGCAAGGAGTACATTGAGGCTGACGTCAAGTTTTGGTGCAATCTGGAAGATTCGGCCGATGGGCTGTTTGGAGCAGAACTTTAATTGAACCAAATCATGATTGCATTCTTTTGCTATTTCCCTAATAATGAAATATCGGTAGCTGTTTTTTGTTTCAATGACCAGTATATGTTGTTAAGTAATTGTATATGGTGAGCATGAGCAAAGCTAGCATACATAGTAATAAAGTCTATGCTAACTATGATGATCGCATGCCGAAGCTAAACAATGGATAGTATAGTGGTTACATAACATGATTGGAAGTGTGTGATGGATCTGGCTCACATCATCCATATCATACAGCATAATAGAGAGATAAAGACCACGATTCATTGGTTTTAATAGTGCATGCATCTATAACCAGAGCTAAAAACTAACACCTGTTGTGTTGATAGATTTTATTTACTTAAAGCCCATCGGTAGCAACTTAGGTGGTTACTTTGAAGAATTTGATGACAAAATCAAAGTAACCACAAATGTTGCTAGTAACATGTTTTCTAGTGTGTGTTGGGCTTAAGGGATCACATTTGAACAAAAAATTTAGCTGTCAGTAAGCATGAATATTGCTGTAATGCCACTTGGAAAGATACATCTTGTCAGTGTATTTTTTATGAATTTTTAATGTTGCTCATCAAGCCATTCCTTTGTACTCTAAGAGTACATGGTCTTGAGCAAAATTTTGGCAAAATTACTAGGAGAGAATTCTCCATTTTCTCTGATGCATGTACATGTACTCATGCTGTGTAAAAAGTTTGAGCTAGTTCCGATCAAAATTGGATTTTTTACGAGTTTTTAAGTTTACTCCAAAATCAGGCCAAAGTTATTATTATCTCATTTGTTAACCTATTATGTTTCCTTGTGTTGTATCTATTTTCTAAAAATGTTTATTTAAGGGCTCAGTTCCCTCCTACACTGTACTGTAGTACATGGTCTCGGGCCAAATTTTGGGCAAAAATGATTAGAAGAGAATTCATCATTTTATAATTTTTTCTGATGCATATACATATACTTATGTTGTGTAGAAAGTTTAAGCTGGTTCCAATCAAAATTGGATTTTTTACGAGTTTTTAAGTTTACTCCAAAATCAGGCCAAAGTCCCTGTACTATAGTACATGGTCTCAGGCCAAATTTTGGGCAAAAATGACTAGGAGAGAATTTACCATTTTTATAATTTTTTGTAATGCATATACATGTACTTATGTTGTGTAGAAAGTTTAAGCTGGTTCTGCTCAAAATTGGATTTTTTACGAGTTTTAAAGTTTACTCCAAAATCAGGCCAAAATCCCTGTACTATTAGTAACGCGGTAGCGTTACTAAGTAGGATTCACCCCCAAACAAAATAGTACATGGTCTCAGGCCAAATTTTGGCAAAAATGACGAGGAGAGAATTTTTTACTTTTATGATGTTTTCTGATGCATATACATGTACTTATGTTATGTGGAAAATTTAAGCTGGTTTTGATCAAATTTGGATTTTTTTATAAATTTTTTAAGTTGTTCAAAATTGGGCCAAAGTCCCTGCTATTATTTTGCTAAAACTGACTAGGAAAAATTGTCCATTGAATAATTTGTTTTATTCATATGTACATGCTTTTATGTTGTTTGTAAAATTTGAGCTGATTCCAATCAAAGCTTAATTTTTTATGAATTTTTTAAACTTGCTCCAAAAGCCATATACTATTGTGTTGCTTGTCAGCATGATGTTTAGCTTACCTACACTTCATTCATTCTTTCATGCATACATAGGTGGCTACAAACCAACAGATGGGCATTGCCCAAATGGATCGTGCACTTGCAGAGAAAATGCAAATACTATAAACTTTGTTCTATTATCATTATTACTATTTTCTGGAATATTTTTCAGCATATTAATGCAATTTGTTAACTATAGATTTAGAGAGAACAAGTTAGTTTAGCTATCCCAATATATAGGTGTAAATATGACTATTCTATTTTATAGATATTTTAAAAGCTCATCCCCTGTTCTCAATGCTCTAATTACATTTGGTTGTACAATGGGTTATGTAACTGGATTGCTGTTTCTGGCTTCTTATTATGTTGGTATAACTGGAAAAGGAGAATTGACTCCAGTTTGCAATGTAAGTGTATTTTCAGAAATTCACGAGTTAGCCTTACCATTAGGTTACTATCTCATCATTCTGGTTGTCACTAGTAATAGTCAATTCTACAATATTTATGAAAAACTGGAGAATATTCAGAATATTTCATAACCCTACTCAGAAAGAAAGGGTATTTATGCTGCTTTTAATTCAATTCTAGTTATGTTATTATTTAGAATAACTTGTCAAACAAAACGATGTTCCTAGGGATTCTTATTCTTTGCTCTCCTGTATTGTTGATGCTCATAATAATAGTATCTGCTGGAGTTTTCTCAAAATATGAATCCACTTTTGATAATTTTCAATGCCCTAATATTGTAAGTAGTAAGTATAGTATAAAAGTTCTTACAAGCACTGTTTCTTATGAAGCCTGAAGCAATAGATACAATGCTAATAGAAGATCACTGCATTGAGAGATTGGCATTTAAGTGGGATATATTGATTTCTGTCTTCATATTCTTTCTCTTCATATCAATCACTATGCTGGGCTCATATAACTCCCGCTTATCCTCGCATTATAAAAAAGAGGGAGAGCTGGCCATTCTGACAGGGATAATTTCCCTGGTATTGTTTACTTCTTATTATCTCATTGCAATTGGTATTTCTTCTGGATACACTACATCTTCAAGGATAGAAAATCATATGCCTTATACAGTTGGATCACTGTGGATTTACAACTCATTCATCCTAACTGTCTTGTACTTATCAAAAGTAAGCCATAGTAACACTCATGGTATTGCTTATTGTCACAAATAGGCTATTGAAATGCTAAGAAACAGGAAATTTCGTCCAAGGCTGAGGAGTAGGAAAACCACCATTAGAAAGAAGTTCAATGATCTACATGACCAGCTTTTTATTTTGAAACATCGCTTACAAAAAGTTAGTAGCTGATTCTCATCTCAAAAAACATTATTACATGCAATATAGATAGACGAAAGTATTGCTATAGAACAAATGCACTCTACGGATTCAACTTCTACAGAAATAGTTACTGTTGATTGAAGTTTGCTTTATGATTTGTACTTTGTAGCACCATTTTGTGTATTATGTGTGTGTGATTTTATAAAGACTTAAGCCTGAATGGCCACGTGTTTGCACGTGTACTGGTTATAAATAAGGGGGCGTTGGTATGCCCCACTGATTATGTGTAGGTGGACTGTATGCTTTTTAGACTTTTACCTCGACTTTTACTGACACTATGGATAATGGAAAGATGGTGGTGTCTCCCCATCTCTCTCTTTGCACTGATAGTATTTGTCGTAAAGGCTTCGTCACTCTCGTGTAACCCTGACAGCCAGACTACCCTCAGTCTAGTCGGTTTCTTTCCCTGTCTCCGTGACGCTCCGGCTTCTCAGCTCTCCCATTGCGATCTAATGATACTTGGCTCTGTGGAACTGGCCATAGAAGATATCAACGCATCACCGGCGGGAGAATACAACTGCTTTAGGCTAAATCTTACACACAAGATAACTAACAACGCTTCGGAGGTGGGTTGCTAAATGCCTGTGGTTTCTTCTTGTGAGAACAAATTTTGATAATACTTTATATATAAAATAGGCTGTGGATGCAGTGAAGGAGTACGGGTTTCTAAATAACAGGTTTTTAGCTCAACCAACACACGGGATACTGGGCCCATACAGCAACCAAGTTGCTCTTGATCTGAGCTACATATTTGGAAGACTTTTTAACATTATACAGGTAAGAAACCCCCTATGCATATATAATCCATGAGATTATCATGTTACAATATGCTGCATACATCATACAGGTAACATACTCAGTAACTGACTCTAGACTTAAAGATAAAGCTCGATACCCATTACTATACTCTATCACTCCTACTGATGCATTCCTCAATAGATTGAGGAGTGAGGTACTTCGTCACTTTGGTTGGAGGAAAGTAGCTGTTTTCTCTTCAGACTCTGCAAGAGACACAAAAGTAACTCATAACATAATATGGGAATAAATGGCATAAAGGGACAATATAACTAATCATAAGGAATTTATTGTTGATTTTATCCTAAATATGGGGAAAATGCCTAGATTAGCCTAAATACAACAAATCAGATATATTTATCTTTTGTAAGATAAACACAACAAACTATACAACCTGTTATTAATTAGAGAAGTTGGTTTTCATTTGTATAATTATGTTTATGTATACCAGTGCGGTTTCAATAACAATAATCAGCTAGTGTAATCTTATATTATTTATGTAAATTTGTTTTAGGTTGCGGAAGAACTGGCTGATGTATTGTACAACAGCACTAACAAAATGAGTATAATGTTGGGATCGTTTGGTAGCACAGCAGTTAGTTTATTAAAAATAGCGAAGGTAAAAAAACAATACTATACTATAATTACTCTACTATACTGGTCTTTTAGAGTAATGATGTAAGGGTATTTCTACCTATTGTATCAGAAGATAAGGCTAGAGCTATTTTTTGTGAAGTTAGTATAACTATCAGACAATCTACACACAAAACATGCATAATATAATTAATAGTACAACGATCCAAACATATCTACATTTTATTATAGGCTTACCAGTCAGGCTTAACATCCCCTAGTCATGTTTGGATACTGCCCGGAATGTCCCGTTCAAACTGGTGGAAATTACTCGACAATCAGACATCGAATTGTACCGACGAAGTAATTCTAGAGGCAATCAATTCAACACTATTTGTTGACACACTACCCTTTGACATTAGCCTAACAAAAGTACAACCAGTAGTTAATTTTTATACAGTTCATTTACTAATCCAATTCTATGTGTAGGATGTACAGAATTTAACTTTAAGAGTGCGTGAAAGACTCAACCTTCCCCCGTTTGACTTTAAGAATGGATATCCACCTTCTCTTCTTCATTCGAAAATGTTCAGTGCCTATGATGCAGTGAAACTATTAGCCATTACATGGAATGACACAATAAATCACTTACACAATGCTAATACATCAAAGGGCCTTAATGCTACAGATATCATCAGGGATCCTATGAAAGATCCAACTCTAGGCCACCTACTAATGGAGAAATTGATAGATGCTACTCATCGCTACACTGGATTCACTGTAACATTATTATTAGCCGCATTAGCATAAATGTCTTCTTGTATTTAGTTGTTAGGTGAACCGATGCTAAGTATGACCTCCACCGGTAGAGGCATGGTTACACAAATGTTTGGTATGTTATTTTATGATGTATTATTATTATTATTTTAAATAACTTCAAGGCAACAGAGAAAGCATAGTTGCAGTCTACAGGCATACCATTCATGAAGGTAGTCACTTTGAAGTATGTACAAATGGTACAGGCTGTGGCCTGTCATGGAAAGGTTAGCATTTGCATGTGATAGCATTCTTCAGTTACGTTTGCTAAAAAAAATTCCCAACCAGCAAACATGTTTTTCTTTGTCGTTGCAGTTTATCAATCTATATATTCTGTTTATCTGTGTAGGTGGTTATCAGCCAACTGATGGTACTAGTAACACAGAGCCTGATCACGTCTTATTTTATGTTATCTTCTTTGTACTTTATTTCTTTATTTTTGTTGGTGGGATTTCATTTTCAATTATAACCTGCATCTGTAAAACAAACAAGTCAGCTACCAAGTTTCATTAATTATGCCCCAAAACTTTGTTATTTTACACATTGTCATTTTGTTTATTTTGCCTTTTTGAAACTTTCTGTTAGGTACTTGAAAGCAAGAACTCCTTTCTTTACTGCCATTCTGAATGTCTGTTGCACTGGTCTCTCTGTATCTGGGATATTCTACCTTGTATCAAATTACATTGGACTAGTTCAACTAAAACACATTGAAGTTGTATCACCACTGTGTGCAGTGAGTAATGAGAGAGAGAGAGAAATAGAAAGAAGACATTAGTGAGAAATGAGACGTGAACAGAAATTTTCTTTTATAATAGATAGGGTTTGTTGTGATGCAGCTATCATACGTTACCATTCTGGCTACGGTATTAGTTAAAAACTGGAGGATATACAGGATATTTTATAATCCTCATATCAAAAACAGAGTAAGCAGTGTCACATATATCAGCTCCCTGATGTTTGAATATAATAGAAAAATTTGTCAACTAAAGATCTTTCTCTTGGTATCTCTGCTATAGTCGTTCCATTTATGATCACCATCACAATCATTTACTCGATCTATCCTCCAAAAGAAGTAGAAAATTGCCTGGTGAGTTGAACTTCCAGCAGCTACAGTGTATATTGAAATTATAACCTCACACACACAATACATTTTGTCGATATGTCACCATCAATCATATTTTATAGGAAATGAATGATTGCATGTGCCTCAATAGACTCGGAATGTGGAACATCTTCCCATTCCTCTATTTTACAATACTTTGTATTGGTCTTGTAATTCTGGGTATTAGCAACTCACAGTTACAGTCTTTCTTTCGTGTTGAAGGACAACTGGCAAATGTTGTATCTATAATGTTTGGATTGGTAGGAGCTTCAATATTTATAATACAATTGCGTGAGATTACATCTCGCTCAGTGGTACCAAGTTTCAGCAAAATTCTAATGGTTCATGTATCAATATTTATCAGTGGATTTGTATTCCTGATTTTTGTTAATGCTCCAAAGGTACATTTATAAAAAATTAATGTGAAACTTAAAGAGTTATTGTTATATGTTTTTTTTATTAGATACGGATCAGGCAACTGAACACAACAAGGCATTCCAAATCATCAACCAGTAATCTAGTATCAGAAGACTATTTGGAGAAATGCAAAGAGATAGTGAAACTGAAAGAGCAGGTATGTTATAATATGCACTTTTGATCAACAAAAAACTGTATTCCTTTTACGTAGCTTGATCTATTGGATGTTCCATAACCAACTGACAAGAAAACTTAAACTTATCTATCACTTGAATGACCCTGACTCTACACCACTTAATTTATATTGTACTATTCCCTGTCCTTGTGTGTAAATATAACATTTATCTGTTATCACAGTCCTTTTAAATTTGTTTTATATAATTATTATTATAGATTCTAAAATTGTCATGAAAAAAATGTGAACACAATCAGTAGATATTGACTTCATACGAGAGACTGGCTCTACCATAGCTATTAACAGCAGTGCAGCTGTATGTTCCTCCATCAGTATGCGGATTGATGTTGTAGATAACCAGAGTGCCATTATGAAATACAGAGTATTTACTGCTCAGATCAATCAGTGTGGAGTTGTGCCTCCATCGGAGCAAAGGGAATGGCCTGCCATAGTAAGGACAGTCTAAATTCTTGTGTGAAGTGTTTAGGATGACAGATTTATTAGTAGCTTCAACAATGAAAGGAGGAACTATTATAGAGAGGAAAGGAAGTGATAAATGGAATGAAGCATCAAAAAGATATAATAGGAAGTGATATTTCAATAGAGGAAACAAGGTCAAAGCGACATAACTCACCAACCACTTCAACAAAGAAAATTTTTTTAACAACCCTTGCAACAAGACAGGTGTAATCTCCTTGATTGCTCAATGATACATCGTGTAGCTTAAGGAGAGTTGATGTAGAGTATCCTTCCCTTGATTGGAGTTTCTCTCCATTGTACCTCCACTCCATAATACCACCCCCGCCACCTTCTCCTCCTTCATTGATAAACTCACTGCAGTCTAAATCAACAATCGAATTATGGAGTACAATCATGTGCTCATCAGGTGCCCTAGCTGCAATAATAAAATAGCAATAACATCACGTGCAAATATTAGCTATCAAATACAAACAAACACAAGGTCATGACCCAAGGGCTAGAGTATGTCTGTGTGTATGCATCACTCCTGGCAGATCAAAACAATTTCCTCAACTTTCAGTTAGCACGCCCCCTCACCATGAACTTGTACAAGTGCAGCAGATGTTGATATGCCATACTGATTTTTTGCAGAGCAACTGAAATTCCCAGACCACATAAAACCAATACCAAACAGTGTCAGCGTCTTATTGCCATCTGTAATGAAAATCTCATCAGTTCCCCTCAACTTGATGTCATTATGATACCAATTAATCATTACATCATAACCAGTCGGTCCTGTCACATGACAAGTCAACGAGAGAGTCCTTCCTGCTAACACTTGAGTGTCATTTAATAAACTGATAAAATATGGCGGCTCTGTAATAAAAAAAGGTATGAATTCATTTCTGCTTCACTACATGCAAATGTAGCAATTATTCAATTAAAGTATCTGATTCACTGTGTGGCATGTACTCTAACCTTTCCTTTCCTGTACATGAAGGAAGATTGTGTGTGTGAGTAGTCTGCCGGTTTTATTATAGACACAGATATACGCTCCTGCATGTAGTAAGTTGACCCCATGTATCTCTAGTGACCCGTCATCTCTTTGTACTTCACCAGCAATAACAACAGAGCCTTGAGAATAAAGAAAATTGAATTTTAAAGATATAATTATTGTGCAATGAACTTTCTACTTTCTATAATACCATTATACTTCCAGTATGAATCATTATGAGCCCCACAGGAAAGAACAATATTTGACCGAGTAAGAACAACCATGTCTTCCGAAGTACCGGCTGGTGACAAAAAGATTAGGATAGGGAAAAAGAAAGGAAATGGAGAGAATAGAGGAAGAGAGTGCCTGTAAAAGCTTACCTATTGTGATTGTAAATGATGCACCAAAATGAACAGCAGAAGTACCAACAATATTACTAGCAAGGCAGCGATAGGTTCCATCAAAAGATGAATTGACTCTGGTTATTACAAGCGTTCCATTGGGAAGGACTTTATACTGATGTGAATTAATTTCTGATACATTAGTGCCATTGACGAACCAGTCATATCGAGGAGGAGGCAATCCACTCGCTTGACAATCAAACGTTGTATCAGGTAGAGTGCCGATAGAAACTGAGAACTCACGATTGCAGCATGGTATACAGTCTGGGAGTTTTGTCAACACAGGAACCTCTATAGGAGAAAAAAAGAGAAGGAAAGATTGTGACATTTTAATAATGACAATGCACATACCAGTAGGATCCTTTATTTCAATAGGTATCTGTGCTGTATTAATACCAACAATATTAGTAGCAACACAAACATAATCTCCAGTATCAGACAATGAAGAATTGTTAATAATGAGAACACCATTATTAGATATGGTAGTATTTGTTGAATCGGTCTTGTTTAGTCTAACCCATTTTACTGATGGAGTAGGCAGACCAATAGCAATACAACTTATATTAATGTTATCTCCAGTCAAGTTTGATACTGGTCCTGGTGTAGTAGTGAATGATGGAAGAGCTATATAAGATGAAAGGAATAACATAAAAATATTTTTTCCATTAAAGCAGCATACTTGTTATGTCCACTTGTACACTATAAGAATCAGTACCAACAGTATTATTAGCAGTACAAACATAAGTACCACCATCACTGACACTACTCCTCATGATGATAATGCTTTCACTGATGGTATAGAGACCAATGGAGATATTCTCACTCTCAACTGGGACACCATCTTTAGTCCACTGTACTAAAGGTGGTGGCCTACCAGTTGCTGTACAATTGAGACTAATAGGATCCCCCAATCTTACAATCAGTGGCAGGAGCTGTGACTGAATTTTAGGACGAGATGTAACTAGAAAATAATAAAATTTTTAAG